GAAAAGATTTTAATACGCACACTAATCCAAAAACAACTTCAAACTGGCCGTGTATGACTGGTCTCAAGCACTTATCCCATAGACTCCGCAACACCATCGCTCCTTGTTTTTCAGGTACTGTAAGTAATCAACGTACAGTCGGAAAGTAAAAACCGTTCGGATAGATTCAGTAGCACACTAAACTGTGCCAATTATCATTTCCAAAAATAGTTTACGACAAAGCACTACATTATTATTATTATTTCCTTTAGTTCCTAAAGGAACATAAGGCTTCAGCTGCGCATCTCCATTACCTTCTGTTTTCTGCCAACTTTTTCACTCCGCTCCAAGTCTGCCCACATTCTTTCATCTCCTCCTCACATGACTTCCTCCAAGTCAACCTCACACTGACGACCAACTCGCCGCTTTCCTTTTGGGTTCCACTCGAGCAATGGCTTGTCTAGTGATGTCACTTGATGCCATGTTTTCTCAGAGTATGGCCAGCCAATCCACCTCCATTTCTTCCTGCCTATTTGTTTCACAATCGGTTCCTGCTGAGTTGGTTCGCTCATTTCCAGAGATCCCTGTTGCTGATCTTTTCTGGCCAGTCATCTGATCTTGAGTATTTATCGAAGGCAGCTGTTGATGAAGGTCTGTAGTTTGTTGGAGCTGCTATTCATGACGCGCCAAGTCTCTGATCCATATAGTGAGTAGCACTGACTTCATATTGGAGTTGAAAATCCGGATCTTATTTTTGATGGTGAGTGATGTTGACCTCCACACAGACTTGAGAGTAATGAAAGCTTGTCTTGCTTTTCCGATTCTGGCTTTGATATCCTCGTCAGTTCGGTCCTCCTGTAGTTGAAACGATGCTTCCCAGGTCGGTGAGTAGGTAAAGGAGGTTGTTTGTTTCAGGTTCGTCCCATTTATGCTGGCTGATTGTTGTCTTTTGTTGTTGTTGCTGTCGGTGTTGGCCAGGAATCTTCATCACCTCTGTTTTATCTATGTGTTTACTTGGAAACCTATTTTTGATGCTTGTTCTGCCTACGTGTTGCTTTTCACTTGCATATCTTCCGGTATGTGGGAAATCAGACATATATCATCGACGGGCGAAGTCCATTTTATGCCTGTTTCCTCATTGGCCGTTGTCTGTCGCATTATCCAATCTATTGCAATCAGCGAAATCATTAGCGATAGTAGACAGCCTTGCCTCACTCTCGTGCTCACTTCGAAGGATTCCGTAAGTTTTCTGTTGTGGATTACTTGGCACGCAGCATTGTCGTATAGCTGTTGGATGAGATGTATAATTGTCGGCGGCACCCCGTAGTAGCACCACATACCCATCAACATTCAGGTAGGAAATTATGTATTAATCTGCGATGAGGTATTTGGTTGTGATTTGTAATGAAATCAGTGGGTTGATAAATGAATCTTTAATGTAGTAGAAAACAAAACAGTGTTATGTAATAAGTTGAATAATTGTTACCACAGTGAGCTGAAATTAATCATTGTTTCTTTTTGTATACCTAGGTTGAAATTGCCATGCTTTCTCGTATTGTATTACATACTTCCCGTTCTTGTATACTGCTGGATAAATAGTATTCTGTTGTTAGCCGATTACTAGAACTTCTGTAGTCTTCTCCCTAAATTATTGTCAATAACGGAGAGGCAGGAAAAAGGGAGATGGACTAGGCAAACACTGTGCAGGAGGCCTTCTAGGGACTTCTCACACCAAGTCGCCTGGCGGAACCCCTAATGGGAACCGATCAGTAGGGTGAGGGTGAGAGGGTAAAATAGAGGAGATCGTGTAAAGGGTTGAAATGAAAGCTTGTGGATGACTGTGCAGCCAGCCTATGCAGTTAGCAGAAAGCAAAATGAAATAGCGATATATTGCTGAGGCCGTTTGGAATCCAAGGGAATAGTAGTAATCGGTAGTCTCTTTTCGTGTCATTTGCAGTGTTTATGTCATTTTGTATCCTACTCGAGATAGTTATACGAAATACTACTTTGATGATACAATTAGAAGATTGCAGCTTATTGATTAAGCTCTGCATTAGTAAGCGAATAATGGTATGTGTCAAAAGTTGAAGCTTCTCCTTAATACAAGAGAAAATTAACCTTTAGAAGACGAAGTTTTAAATTTTGTCTCCCTTCAGTACTGAAAATCAGATGGCTCACTGGAAAGGATAAGGAAACTAGAAGGAACTTTAACGTTTCAGCGAGTTATCCAGGAACCTGTTGGTTAAAAAAATATGCAGGAGAGAATAGCGATGAGCCGGGATAACTCTGAGCAAACATCCAGCTGACATCACACACCAATTAAACTCTCGGATTTGTTAGAGGGCCACATGGAAAAGATCGTGTTAAGAGGAAATGGGAGTTTGTAGGTAGTCGTGGAGCCAGCTTAAAAAGAACAAATGCGGAGAGCAGAGCGAAGTGGCAAGGTCTTGCTAAAGCCTTATATTCTACTGTGAATAATATGTTGACTTTACATACTGAAGTGTAATTATATGCCCTTTACGAAATAGCTCCCAACATGTTTCACAAAGCTTATGGTTACAGGAGAAGCCAGTATTTTAGATACAACTGTTATTAAATTAATGTCCTGATGACTGTTGTATTGGTTACGTAGGCCATTTATAAAGGTAAGCTCACTAATCACGCTACCTCACAGTTATTGGATACTCCTTGACCAGATTCTCATCTTTATCAAGAGAAAACGATAAGTCGTCTGTACTGAAAGGCAAGGGGGAACTTATGGCGCTTGATTATTTGAGTTATTGTGTTCTTTGAGGAATGTTTCTTGTTGCTATTTCATTCTATCATACATAAAGAATATCTCCGAAATAATGGCTAGAGTATTAAAACCATTTGGAATAGACAATACACAAGCAGACACAATCATTTCATTCACAATATTCGGTAGACTAAAGGACTCAACACCGAAAGGAAATGTGATCACTATTACAAAATAAATCGCGTAAACTGCGATAAACCCTGCATTGGTCAAAGTAGACGTCCCCTTTGTATGTATTTTTTCACTAGGAGAATAAAGAAATCCTAAGCATAGGAAGTATCAAGAATGCCAGTGAATTTCTAGAAGCCTGGTACCCAGATGAATAAGTGATTAAAAACACAGTACTATAGGTCAAATTTACCAACTAATAAAGAATAAGTTACATGACAGGGAAGTTTATATTCCAAGTCGATAGAAGATGATCAATGTAAATTGATAACGAATCACGACAATGGCTGTTGTCATGAGACCCAATTATTTCATCAATCATGGAAAGAATTCAAATAGGTTCACTTCATATTATGCTTGTGTTGAATATGTTATCTGGAAGGCCAATGAAAGTTTCGCAATTAAGTCAACCAGCTCAGAGACCAAAACCAAGTCCCAAAACACTACAGCTAGAGAGAATTCAAGTGCTTAGAGCCGTAGGTTCCATTCAGAATGCAAAGGACTGTGAAATAGTATCTAAGTGCATAAAGGATCTTTTCAGAATATTATTATTATTCCCTTGGGTTCCTAGTGGAACATAAGGCTTCAACTGCACGTCTCCACTTGCTTCTGTCTTCCTTCTGATATACTTTTCACTTGCATCCATGTTAGCCCATACTGTTTCAATTCCTCTTCACACGATCTCCTCCATGTCACCCTGGGACGTCCCATCCGCCGCTTCCCTTTCGGCCTGGTTCCACTCGAACAATGGCTTGAGGCGCGATGTCACCTAGCGGCCTCCTCAGCGAGTGTCTAGTCCATCCATCTCCACTTTTTGCATACTTGTTGGTTGGCGATTGGTTCTTGTTTTATTTTGCTCCCATAGTTTATTGTTGGTGATTCTTTCCGGCCCGGCCATCTGATCTTCAGTATAGAGCAAAGACAGTTGTTGTTGATAAAGGTCTACGATAGCCTGTTGGAAATATTCTTTGTGACCCGCCCGCCAAGTTTCTGATCCGTTCCGTATAGAAGAACTGACTGACTTGACGTTTGTATTGAAAATCCGACCGAATTTTATTGTTGATGCTGGCTGAGTGACGAAGATTCCCAGATTGGTTTCAGGTTGATGAATGTGTTTCTCGCCTTCCCGATTCTTGCTCGATTTGACATCCTCGTCCGTTCCAACTGGCTGTAGTTGAGTCAATGCTCCCTAGATAAGTGAACGAATGAAGTAACCTCTTTCGAATTCCTTCCGTTGATGGTGATTGACGTTGGATGTTGCTACAGTTGTTTTTGTTGGTTGGTTATTTTCATAACCTCCGTCTTGTCTATGTTCACCTGGAGTCCTGTCTTCGCCAGGTGCTTCTTTGACCAGTTTGGCGGTTTTCGCTTGTAAGTCTTCGATTTTGTGTGACATCACACATAAGTCATCCGTGAAATCCAGGTCTTCTAGGCTCTTCACGTCGGTCCAGGATATTCCTGTATTCTCGTTTCCCACTGTCTGACGCATAATCCAGTCCACCACAATTAGGAATATCATTGATGATAGTAATCACCCTTGTCTGACTCCTGTGTTCAGTATAATTAAGTCTTAATTCAATGTTCAAGTTTACTCCGTTGATTTCATCGTCATTCTACTTTTGATCTGATTATTATTATTGTCTCTTTTAGTTCCAATAGGAACATAGGGCTTCGGCTGCACGTCTCCATTGCGTTCGGTTCTCTGCCAAGGTTTTCACCTGGCTCCACTTCTGCCCACATGCTTTCATTTTCTCTTCACATGACCTCCTCCATGTCACCCTCGCACTGACGACCATCTCACTGCTTACCATTAGGGTTCCACTCAAAAGTCTGGTGTGTGATATATATGTATATATATTCAAAGTGATTGTCTTAAATATTTGCATGATGTATTATTCCGTATAAAATAAAGCACATATGATTCCAAACATTTATTAGCAACTAAATATCTATATTATTCATAAATAGTACACAAAATCACTGATAAAAACAGGAATTAAAAATGAAATATGTTTTGGTTGTGTTGCTTGTTCTAGTTTTCGCTAATTCAACGTTTTCAATTACAAATCTTTGTTATTGCTCTATTGATCACATCAGGAGTATAACCATTTTCGCAATAGTTGTATAATGTTGACAAATGTCCTGAAACTTCTGGGGCCTAAAATAAATTGGATTTTATAAAATAAAAACAGAAAATTAAGAAGAAGAAGACAACGACGAAGGCGTTTAACACTATGTTACTATGCTACCAATCCTCCTAAAAGTCTATTATTTATTGAACTTTAATTACTAACTAATGTCACTACATGACTAAATCTGTATTTTCAGTTCCTGGTTTTCAGGGATTTGATTGATTTTCACTTGCGGTCGTGATCTGAATTCAGTTAGAGAAACATTGAAAACAGGGCAGTACTGGACAGCTGTTCCATCATAGTCTGGGATTCCTATGTAGTAGGCACTTCTGACCCTACTAGAGGTTGAACGCAAGACCTTCAGGTGACAAACCGAGTTCCAGAATAGGAATAAACAGCTGTCCAGTACTCCCTGGATTTTAATCGTTCTGTAACTGTAGTCGTCTGGAGAAAAATTCAAGTCTATACTGGCTTTAATCGAAATCACTGTAAACCCAATATCTACTCTGATTTTATTCAGTTCACTTGTCTAAAATGAGATTTACGCTAGTCGTCGAAATTGCGGGTTGATGGTTTAATGGTAGGATTCTTGCCTACCACAAACGTGGTCGGGTTTCGATTTCAGGCTGACATAATACCATGCCACGTGTTGTTTCTTACGGACGATAAGCTTAGAAGAGTAGAAATGTTGGACGCGAGGCCAGCAACCCCATCCGGCAAAAAGTTATTGCTACTGAGACATGTCAGCTGAAACTTTAAACCCACTGTTCCACTCGAAAAGTAAAGGAATAAAACAATTCAAGTGTTGGTTTGTAGGGATTTGATTGGTTGCAGGATTTCACCATGAGCTGACATTAGTTGGAGAACCATTGGAAAACCTGGGTGCAGCAGGTCGTGTGTGAGGACAAACGCTCACCGGAGACATTGGCTAGGGGTCGCGCTATGTCGTGAATTGGCAGAAGTTAGAATTCATGGACTGGCCATTGGATCGGGTTCCAGTGGCTCAATGGTGTACGAGCTCGCCTTGTAACCAGAAGGTCCTGGGTTCGAACCCTAGTGGTGGGTGCGTACTGATGAAGAGTCCAAAACTAGGACGAAACAGCTGTCCAGTACCCCTAGGTTTTCCAATGGTTCTCTAACTAATGTGAGCTCATGATGAAATCCAATAGAAATCTGTTGAAATTTCCTTATTAAAGAATAAAAGGGGATATTTGTTGCATAATAGGTGGCTGTCTTATCACGACAGCCTAGTAAATAAACCTTTAGTGCTTGAAATAATGGGTACTAGTTTCCAGTTTCACTTCGGAGACTATTATTCTCTGGGGTTATGCAGGTACATTAAGCTGAAAAATCCTGAAATAGGACTAAGTGAGCATTGTGGCAGTGACCATCAAACAGAATGACATTGTATTAATTTGATTCCATCAAACTTCACACTCATCCTTTGGTCTTTATTATTAACCTGTCCATAGTTGAGTGAATCAAGAGATGCAATGAAGCAGTATTCGTAGTCCAGTGTAGTTTGTATGGTTACGTTCACAAAGGTCTAGTAGTCTGGTACTTCACCCACTTTTTGACATTTTAGAAAATGTCAGGAGATCAGGTCTCAGAACGCTGTGGATTAAAAAGATTCCACTTTAACAAATCACTTAAACTAAGGCTCGTAAAAAAGTACATTTTCCTCTCTATTAAAATAGTATTTGCTAAGTAACGAGGAGAGTAAGGCGAATAATTAATAATAATCTTCCAGGAAAAGAGAAAAACAAAATGGATACTCACCTGTTGACGTGTAAAACAATTTCTTTTAAATGTATTATAAACTGATTCTGCACAATCTAAAATATCATCAATACTTGGATTTGCAAAAACTGCCTTTGATGTCTTCATTACTTCAACAATTAAATCCATTGTATCCTGAATAATGCTGCTTCTCTAGTAAAACAGAAAAATGAACAGAAATGAATAGACATGCTATACAGTATGTTATTTTGAGCTTTTTAGAGCACTTAGACAGTTCCTAAAGACAGGTACGTAGCCTATTATAAATAGCTAATTAGCTAGCCGGAATTTAGGCGGTTTGAAGTGATTTAGTTTTCTGAGTCGAGTTAAACTGAGTAGCCACTGATGAGCTCTGCCTTTCAATTTTTGGATCAGGGTGTCCTCACCTCGAATCATATGGTTACGACTTGTCACTAGAACTCAAAAAACCTTCGTCCTGCAGCCAGTCACAGACCATTGACATTTGCTGATGCAAGTCGCGCTAAAATTGAGTTGCTAGAAGTTGGGATTCATTCATTGAGTTGGGTCCCAGTGGTTGAATGGCCTACAACCTTACCTTGTAACTGGAAGGTGATGAGTTCGAAACCTAGTGAGCGCGTTCTGTCTGCGAGTCCAAAACTAGAACGGAGCAGTTGTTCAGTACTTTCTGCTGGTTTTCACTGGTTCTCTAAATGGTATCCATCCGTGGTCAGACTTGTACAAATCAAATCCCTTCAAACTAACTCCTGAAATGGTACATTATTTAAGAATTTACCTACTAAACAGATACGTCAGCCAAATACAATTATCATTTTTGGTGCTTTACGTTAGGCTGCAGGGTATGTATATGGCGTATAAAAGTCAATACCACTATATGAACAGGGTGGATATTGTGGGTTTGAATTCTTAATCCAACGGCTGTCATATTTTTTATTCCTTCCCGTTCCTCGTGGAACATAGGACTTCAAGCTTCAACTCTGAAGCCTCGGTAGTAGTGGTGTCATATTTACGAGGTAGGTTTGCTACCTTCATGGCCAGCATTTCCCCTTTATGGGGTTGACCACCGAATTAGCGAGGTTTGTCAAGTGTCAGCTAGGATCTCACACCCGGGCCACGTACGTGGTTGGCGAGCATTCTGCCGCTGACACTGAAGCCAATAATATGTGGTCTTGTAAATTACGAGTTACTATAGTCACTCACTTCCATACTGCATAATTCTATTGAAAATTCTAACAAACGGGAATATTGATCCCATTTAGAGTCTCGCGTGTGTACTGTTGACGAGCAGCATACTAGGACAAAAACAGAAGTCAGTGCCACTTCGTTTTCAGTGGTTCTTAAGACTGATATCATTTCGCGACGAAATCAAACTGTAAATTAATTAAATCTGTATAGACCAACAACTTCAAAAACACTGTCAAAATAGATGGTAATTGTAACTAGTCGGAAAAGAATCAAGGAATCAACAACAATGTGTAAATATTTATTGTATTTACCTTAATTTTTAGACTGAGTATTTCCGTTAAAAGTTTCTTTTCCTTTGCATCATTGGTCATCATTATTTGTCGACGAAGTGTATGGATTGGAACATCTCGTGAAGGCATCGAATCTTTAGGCTGATTAAAAGATTAATCAAGAAGGAAAAACAGCGAACATTGAATTTGCAAAAAATAGTTATATGGTATACAAACACTTTAAAGAATTGCCGAATTTCTTATGTTCTTGTTTATGTATTAGTAGTTTTAACCATCAAATACAACACCAAGCTTCATCATCATCGAACAGGGCCTAGAACTTCAGTCAGCTCTTGATCCTCAGCTTCATTGACTTAGGAAAGCTTTTTGACAACTGTGACAGAGAAGTAACTCCGCAATCGCCTTAACAATACTGAGTTCATCACCTCAAAGCTTTTAAACCTCATTCAATAGCTATATGCTGATACCACATATCAAGTCATTCACATTGGAGCGTTAATCAAACCATTTGAAGTAAAAACAGAAGTAAGCTAAAGCTCCCTAGTACTACCGATGCACTTTTCTAATTCTGGTGGAGTGAATCATGCCTCACACCATGACGAGTGGGAAGACTGGTACATATAGGTCATAAAAGATCTGAATTTCACAGATGGATTGTGTTTAATATCATACAAAAACTCGAAGATATACAAGCGAAAACGTACATTTTGGAAGAAGAAGTACAGTTGGTGAGGATACAAAACCAACAACAACGAATTCAAATCATTGTCAACTGAAGGAATGTAAAGGATGTTGTCTCTTTCACATTCCTCTCTTGAAACGTTTCAACTACACGTGACATGGATGATAATATCAAATCTAGGTAGGGAGCATAGGGAATGCAAGGCACGAAGGCGTTCATTACTCTAAAATCATTGTGGCATGATGATTCAGGCTATTTATCGCAACGAATCACGGTTGAATATCTAACAGTTGTGTCAAATCAGTGCTTCTCTTTGGTTCAGAGACTTGCTGCACTCGTCAACAAAAGCATTTCCAACACGCTGCTACAGACTTGTGGTTTTCGCTCAGCCGTTACTGGCTAGATAATTGACTCAAGGTTTCGCATAAGATGAACTTAGCTTTGCATTCATCTCTTGACAGCACGCTTCTGATTAATGAGGCCTTTTAATTTTGTGTTTCTGTGACTATACTTGTAGTTTAGGTAAGCTTCTTTTTAGGTTGGTACTGGGTATGTCAGTTATTGTAGGACTGGTCATGTGTTGCTAAATAAAAACCACACATCTTCTGTCTCACCCTTCTCGTTGAGTGATACCATCTAACGTAGGCTGAGATTGAAAAACAGCTAGGTGTGATTAAATAAAAGCACAGCATCGAACCATAAAATCTTCGACTGTTGGTTTGCGCCACATAGAGAGGTATAGGCTGAGTCGTTAGGACACTCAAAATGTTAAGAATGAATGATTTGAGCTTGTTGATGATATGGCTTAATATCACTCTCAATGGTACCGAGACACTCACCTTTTTTAATCTCTCAGAACCACTAAATCCTTATTATTCTCCATATAACTATCACTTCCCCTGGACATTTTCGTTTGTTATAGTTTCTTCGCATTCATTTATCAGTTTGTTTGAAAGAAACTAGTCCAACCTCAACATTTACGATGGATCTAGTTCGGCTGGACTCCTACATTTTTGTTTTCATCTTCACTCATAAAAACAATTATTTCAATCTGTTTTCATGCTCATCCCTTTTATAACTGTCTTTATTAAAAACTATTTTATGTATTAGTTGGCTATTTTCTAAACCCATGTAATTTTTTCCTAAGCTGCTTGTAATCTATACTCACACCTTCGGACTGTCATCCCAAGTTGAAAGTTATTATCAGCTTTATTGTTCACCTTCGTTATTATGTGGAATTGAATAATAATTGTCACTATGTAAACTCATATGTATATAAATGGGATTGTGTAGCTGCTCTTGAGGATACAACCGTCGAGCAGATATCTGTTTGTCGAACTTCTTGTTCTTTTCTCTTTAATTTCTTTATGGCTATTCTCCACGAATTCTGTTTTTCTCTGCTGTCATGTGGATTTTTATGAAATTCAGCAACTTCAACTACTGCATGTAAGTAGTTACCTGTGGTTCTAGTGAGAAGTCGTGACCAGTAGGGTGCAGCAGGTCGGGTGTGAGGACAAATACTAGCCGAAGACATTAGCTGGGGTCGCGCTATGTCGTGAATTGGCAGAAGTTAGAATTCATGGACTGGCCATTGTATCGGGTCCCAGTGGCTCAACGGTGTACGAGCTCGCCTTGTTACCAGAAGGTCCTGGGTTCGAACCGCGGTGGGTGCATACTGATGAAGAGTTCCAAACTGTCCAGTACTCCCAGGTTTTCCAATGGTTCTCTAACTGATGTCAGCTCATGATGAAATCCTGTAATGTCTTATCTATTTTATTTAAGAAATAAAAAGTCAGCAAATCTTCTTCATCACAGTTGTATTGTTTTCAGTCCATCGGTGGTTCGGTCGTAGAATGCTTGTGAACGTTGCATATAGCCACAGGGTTCGATTCCCTAGCTGACAGACACCTTTACTTCCTTTGGCTGTTTGTAGGCCTGACAAATAGGGAGAGTTGGGTGTGAGACTAGCATCACTGCCAATGAAACTTCAGAGCTCAAGTTTGAAGCCCACCCGGAACGCATAGGGATGAAAAAATAAGTAAAAATCACTCACCTTCATCACAGTTGTATTGTTGTCAGTGGAAACTTTCTTTTTACTGCCTTGAAATTCACTAAGTTTTAGTTTACCCAATTTCTGTTGAAATTTCAAATGTTGTTGATAATAAAAGGTTAGTTTTAATTGAAATGGTCTATATGATATCATAAATTATTGCTTTTCGTATAGCAAAATACCTAATACATAAACAAATGCAGAACTAACACAGAGGCCTTATTTTTTTTATTTCATGTATGATTTTATGAAATATAGCCACTTAAAATAATGCTTATCTCTTCAATGAATTTCATTGATTCAATTAGTCAAAGTAAAGGCTGCACCAATCCAGTCAGCACTAAGGAGGAGGATCTTTATATATTTGTACTTTTCACTAGTTTTGATCAAAGTTCATTCCTCAAACAAAGACTCAAAGTGGCACCCAATATCCACAGCTAAACTTATTTTCATATAGGAAACGACATTTATTCTAGTATTCTAGTAAACTCATACAGTATCAGAAAGATAGTGTCACATTCTATTTTGTTTACCAATTTACTTATATGTGTGATCAGATGTACATGGGGAGGACCTTTGGATATCTGCTAGTCAGGTGTAAAAATCACAGATAAAACCGCCTTGTTCAAATAACCCTGAAAATAACTGTCCGCAGAAAACTGTCACAAAGCTGATTTCAATAGTGTGTAAGTGTTGAAGCTAGACTTAAGATAGTCTTCGATATCCCCACACTTACTAAAAACTTCACCGTCTTATGACTTTACGAGTACTCTACCTAACGTGTAAGTACTGATTAACTCAATCAAAGTTTAAAAGCTAACAATGGAAAGAATTCTTAGTATGAGTTGTATTTAACGTAACTAAATAACAGATTTAATAAATAAAGTGACTGTACAACTTAGCTGCAGACGTTACTGGAGGTAGGCTCGGAGAGTGTGCAGAAAGAGAGCACAACAAGAGAGCGAACCAATGAACGTACGGAAGACTCACAACTCAAAAGCTAAAACGTGGATCACCGTGGGTGAGTCAGTTTAAACAAAAGTTCAAAGGTACAATGTGCACTACAAGTGCCTTTACATCTGTATATTCAAAAGTTCCTATCATTCACTTAAATTTGTTGAATCCTTGGCCATAAAACGGTTTAACTCTGTTTTATATGTTAAAAGATTACTTTCTATTGCTATGATTGTGCCTTGTTAATCTCATCTAAAACCATAGATTATTTTACTTTACATTATTTTCACCCCTTCTCATTTTTCTTACCTCGTATCTATGATCTTGACCGGCAAACATATTGACCTTTTTTGACTGGACACTGGTCATTAACTAGTGTGATGTGTCTAGTCCTATCTTCCGTGCAGACTGAATTCTGTCAGTAAAGCTTGCAATATGGCCACCATGCTAGGTGGCTCGCCATTACGGTGCACTGTGAATTGTTGGTATTACATGGTTGGAGGCAGTCGGCAGGAAGCCTTGAACCTAGGTTTCGTGGTAGTTGGCACTCATCAGCAAGGCGTATCTGTATTCTCGAAGGAACCTATGTCACTCCTGAGATTCAAACCCGTGTCACTCAGTGTTACAGTCAGAGACGTTACCACTGAGCTGTCTAATACGAACAATACTGACCTTTATCGATACTCTGTTACCTTATAAATAAGTACGTTTGACTTGTACGTGAGCAACAAGAATATCCAAAATGTGTTGCGAAAATGCAGTACACGTTTCCCGACGAATTACACCTTATTTTTTTTGTTGTGTAAAACAGAAATTGTTCAGATCAATGAAGATTACATGTTGAATATCGTACGCAAAAATTATCACAAAGTGTACTTTAAAAATTGATTTATAAGCTTCCATATCTCTGTAATTACACTTGCATTTCAGACTTCCTATGTACATAAATCAACTCTAAGAAGATATTTCCGCTAATGTTTACTTATTTGAAATGATCTTTTCACTAATTTACCATGTTAACTCTGGTTGTTTTTGGGTTCCCCAGGATCATTTAGGTGAAGTGGTATTCTAAGCTTAAATCATTAAAATATATCTTAGAATGATGAAACATCTCGTGGCTAGCAGTGGCACTGCAAATCATTATCTGATAGAAGTTAGGTGCCTATTGCTGAAGAGTTTCATACCATGATGAAATAGCTGTCCAGTATTCCCAGATTTACTGGTGGTTCTCTAACTGATGCCCCAACTCGTGATCAATCCTGTAACTAATCAAATCTGTGCAAACCAACACTTGATAGAAGTTAGAAATCACGGACTACTGAATTTTGTCTTGCTAGCTGAACGGTTAGCGAGCTCGCTGCATAACCTGAAGGTCTGGGTTCTATCCTCTGTCGGTTCATAAATAGGTTCTGTTGAGGAGTCCTAAAACTAGAACAAAGCAGCTCTGCACCAGTGCCTAGTTTTCAGTGGCTCTCTAATTGACATGAATCCATGATCAGACTTCGGGCATCTCAGAGTCACTCAGTAAACTCGGGTTTTCGCTATGAGAGCAGTCTAAGCTGACACTGAAATTCAAGCACTAAGACTAACAGAATATTAACAGACTCAAACAGACATATTGGACACCGTATAGTGTAAAGCATGGTAACATAAAATTATAAATTAAAAAAAGCAAACTATGGTTGTGCCGTATTCCATGAACTGCATACCTTGACCCTAAACTTTCCACTGACAGTCTAAATAGCCTAATCAATACTAACTACAGATGGAAGTGGTTAAGTAATCTGTAGTACTGAGTTTGAATGAGATTAAACGTTTTTATGTGGTCATGTGGTAGATGTCTATGTGTTGGTGTGTTTTCAATGGCTTTTTAGACTGACCCGTTTGTGACCTCATTGTTATCTGTAATGTTTTTCACCCACTGGAAGATTGAATCAATTATTTAGTATGGTGTAGTGTTGAAGTGGGGCGAGGTAATACTAGATATGGGTTCGTTCTAACTGATACTAAAACACACGACAATACATGACTAATTCCTGAAATCAAAGTCTTACTTCGAGAAAGATATAGAAGATAGACTGTAGAGACAAGGGGTCACTCCTTCAACAAAAATCCAGTATGACCAGAAATCACCACTCCCAATTCATTTGCTCTCAACATGATATGGTCGCTAACGGGTTTGGTGGTTCACTGTTACATCGTTCTCAAACCACACATCTAGTCTGGGTTCGATTCCCGTCCGACCTACTCCCAAACCTCAGCTGGCAAGTAGTAAGGTCTGTAAAATGGGAAGGTTGGATATAAGCACTACATCTGCTGAAACTTCAGAGGTCAAGCTTGAGACACAATGTCCCATTCCGAAACGAAATGAATGGAAGAATATGATCCTTTCATGAAACCTATAAATTACCAGCTAGTAAGATAAAACCTATGTCCTGACTGGGCAGTCTGTACCGGTAAAAACCCAATGAAAGAATCTTTGTTTCAGATTACGGTTGAAAATCTGGTTTACAGACCACACGGCAAACACTGACTTATAATATATCTCCTCCTGCTCCTTACAGGTGCTGTTTTGTTATTATGGATCGATATCATCTAGAGAACTATTGAAAACCATGGAATGCTGGAGAGCTGTTTCTTTCTAGTTTGGGACGCTACGGCAATGCGCACCTATGACATCCATTGGCTTGCTGAGGCTAAAAATCGCTAAGTGACAGAAATTAGAATTCATGGGCCATTGGATTTCTGCTGAAGTGCCTGAATGGTCAACGAGTTGATGTCTTAACCTGTAGGTAGTAGGTTCGTTCCCCAGTGGATTTGTGGGTGTGTACACGTGAAGTATCCCAAACTATGACGAAACGACTTTCTAGTACTGGCTGTCTCTCAAATGTCCTCCAACTGATCAAACTTGAAACCATTCAAATCCCTATAAACTAACACTTGAAAAGTGCTACTTTGTTGTATTAGCTTATAAAACACAGTAGATGTCCTGTTTGTTTTCGTTTATACATTACTTAGAACAAAAACTAATTAGAGTAAACAGTTACTTTCAATAAATTCTTCAGGCTCCACAATTATAAACCCATCAATTTCAGCCTACAATATTGTAAGTAAAGGTAAATTAGAATTTTCATTTAGAAAGTCTGCTGTGTGGTACAAGTACAAGATGGAATAATAGTCACTTAGTTTTGACTAACACTTAGAATATGGATGGTCAATACGAACATGAATGAAATGTCCAATAACTTGAAGGACAGGACCCGCATTCGATCAACTCTGGATGCGTTTATCAACTCACCTGCTCGTATGGAGCTAGGTATATCAGTATTTCGACTCGGGTTTCGTCCAAGAGAGTAAGAGAACAGTATCCTGCATGATCACGAAGAGGTGGAAGTGGAGCTGTAAAAAGCGCAGTCATTGGACATCTGGTCAGTAATGATCACTCTCTCTCTCTCTACAACCTCCACCTTTAAAGTTATCCACTAGGCAGAAAATAACTTTCGCGAATCATTACGTATCCGACTCATCTGTATTGCTGAAGCTATCTTTGGCCATCGAAATAGAAAAGCCAGATCTCTGTGTACAGAAAAAGTTCCTTCAGCTCCTCTAACGTTCATGGTCTTTTCCTCTATGCTAAAGTATAGTAATCCCCATTCATATTTCGGCTCTACTTATCCTTCGCCTTGGTTTATTCAGTTTGTATACTCTTCCTCTATTACGTCAATTGTTACTATTACTATTCTGACTTTGAATTGTCCCTGGTATCATTTTAGTCATCCCACTTGTCATTCTAAATCAGTTTCGTTTTGTAGCGTTAAATTCTATGTTATCGAATCTCATACAATGTTGTGTAACTTTTATATTTTTATTTTATTTGCCTACTAATTCTATAATTTCACACATCTTTCCAACATCTATACTTGTTATGAATTGTTCTGTGTATGACATTAATTTGTTTTGTCACTTGACATTTTACTATGATTGCAATCATAAACATTTTAATTGCATTTCATACTATTATTATTTAATGTATTCACACCTATGATGAAATTCCCTCAGCTGATATAATTTCTTAAAAATCATATATATATATATATATATGTATATATTAATCTGATGCTCACTGGTGACTGGCCCTATTCAGGAAGTGACCTGGCCTTCTAGTGGGAAGCCGTGACCAGTAGTGTACAGCAGGTTGAAGATGAGGCAGTAACTCATCGAAGAAGACATTGCGAAATGGTCGCGCTACGTCATGAATTGACAGGAGTTAGAATTCAAGGACCATTGGATCGGGTCCCAGTGGCTCAATGGTCTGCGAGCTCACCATGTAACCAGAAGGTCCTGGGTTCGAACTCCGCCAGGTGTGTACTGCAGAAGAGTCCCAAACTAGAACGACACAGCTGTCCAGTACTCCCAGGTTTTCCAGTGGTTCTGTGACTGATGTCAGCTCATGATGAAATCCTCCATGCAATCAAACAAAAATCCCCTACGACTCTGCAGCTTGATAGTAAATTCGTTGCAGTCACTTGTTTTTGGTTTTCTATATAAAATGAAATAATTTAATTGCATAAGTATGCACGGTAAACAATAGTATAGGTTCCAAGGGTGAGTGTAGCCTGTGGTGCGTGGGAGTGTATTAATACTACAAAGAAATAAACTAATAAATGAGACAGACAGTAAAAAATTTCAGCATTGTGGAATGGATCAAATAAATTACAATTACATTTCAATAGTTTACAGACAATGATAAGTTTTTTAAAAATTTTTTTGGTAATATTTCGAGTAAAATTACCAAAAAACAAAAACTTACCATTGTGTGTAAACTATTGAAACATCTATTTCAAATGAGACTGACTTGACGTAGTAAGTTCAAGGGTGACAAATAACAACAATGATAATAATAATAACGAAGTAATAATGATGGTGTAGTGTAAACATAAAAGTACTATTAGTGAACAGTTATCTAGTTATAGTGAATATAATGAAATAGATTGAACAGGACTGTGTACACGTAATAACAAGTTTGAAGATTCTTACGTAAACCTACAGGTAGCAGACATAATAACAAGCATCATAAAGCTTTTATAGGTTTGAGATAAGCGTTTGTCGATGAAAAAAAGGGAGAGAATAGGGAAAAAAATAAATGGGATGGGAATTTAAAGTTTCAGTGTTTATGCAGGATTTGTTGACCTTATTGTAGACGATGGTTAACAAAGCGACTTTTTCTGCATACAGAGACCAGGTCTTCTGATATTAACTGCTGCTTCTTCAGCTACTGACAGAAAACGTAGTCTAGCTCCTCTATAGAGATTACTAGGAAGACGTTAGATAACCGAGGACGTCTGTTGTGCTGGTCCTTGTTAAACACCCAGTATACATCAATTGGTCTAAGACTGAGCTGTTTATACACTGGTTTTCACTTTTACTGAACCACACAGGCACGCGTCGACGTGCGTGCATGAATAACTTCCTCTGAGTGAAACCAATGTAACTAGCTCCATATGAGCAGTTGGAGTCATAGATACATATCGATGAGTTCATCTTAGGAAATTTATCCTTGACTTGTTGTATGAGTACTGGTTTATTTGAGAAACTGAGTACCAGTTCAGCTGCAGGAAATGTTCTCGCTGTACTATTATGTTGATATTTTAGCATGTAACTTAACTTGAGATACAAAGGTTTTTTTATCTATAGTATCCATCATTACCTTATCGTCATTTCATCATCACTATTATTATTGTTGTTATTTATCACCCTTAAACTTACGTGTAGTCTGTCCCATTTGTTAGTTTATTTCTTTGTAATATCCATTTTGTCTCACACACACACAGCTGACGACAATCACCCTTGAAACTTGTATTCTTGTTGACTAGGTATACATACATCATTGAACTATTGCATTCTATTTCGTCTAAAGTTCTTATTGACCATACACATTCTAAATGATAACAAGAATTGACTATTATTTCATCTTGCGCTTGTATTACGGAGTACACAAATTGTCAGATGATTTCACAAAATGTCTTGCATTCAGATCAATCAGAAGTTACTAGATACATCGATGTTAAGGCCTTAAATATATGCGAATCAGAACACAAGAAGTAACCGTAAGATCACAGATGAGTTCACCAGAATGACCAATAAGCAGACGACTGGAGTAAAACTCCACCTTTATGCAATTTCACCGGGGCAATATACCTAGTCATTCGTGAGAAAATGCACATAGCTCGCATCATTTTGGAGTTTGTCTTCATAATACTACTTAAACTGGTGATAAAAGATTCACAGTTCAATCATTCCATCAAGTCAGGCTACCTCATTGTGCATATATAGATTTAACTGTCCCTGTGTAGATACTTACACTGGTGGACCGGCTCGAAAAGCACACTGGCACCTTCTTTAGCATTGTCTAACGTCGTTAAGAAGTGGATAGTAAAGTCATCCAGTAGCTGCATATTGGCACGCCTAGTGGATAAACAGCACAAGATTGATGAAAATTCAGCCTTTACACTTCTATACTAAGCGCCACTTCAATCCTCTAGGTTTCTACACCTTCGATCGTTAAGCATAGCTGGGGCAGTTGCCTTAAAAAAGTTTTCAACCCAATCTTTGTGTTCAGGAAAAGTTTGGTCAATCCCTTTCGCACCTATGGTCTTAACCCCCACCCCCGAATCTAGAATAGTTATCTCTTCCAGTGACACCGAATAACTGTAAGTATTACTTTCACTTTTATTTGTAACGCTGACTTCGTCATCAATATCATTTTTTTCCTTCACGTTTCCCAGTGGAACATAGGGCCTCAAGCTAGTGGCTTGAGGTTTCTGTAGCAGTGTTTATTTCACAGGATGGGATTGCCAGTCTCATGCCCAACCTTTCCTATTTACCGGGATTATTTATGGCTTAGCGAGGTAAAGGAGTGCGTCCGTGGCCGGGGATCGAACCCCGGACCATGTGCATTGTCGGCGAGCGTCCTAATCTCTATGTCACCGACGCACCACCATCAATAGCATACTGTGTTATATTTGCACACCTTAATCTTAGTTTCCCAGTTTATTATTATTATTATACTGCTTACATTTTACTTGGATATATTTGAATGTAATGATCTACATTATTTCAGTTGTCTATGACTTTTACTTTAATACCCAGTTGTAAAGCCGTATGAGGATTTACCAAAAATACGTATTTGTTCACTTAAATCCTGTTCCATAATCAAAATAATGGGAATATTCAAACTAATACAGCCTAATTCACCTACGTCATCTCTGAGTAGGTGCCAACAGCTGATATACCCACAGAAATCCAATGAAGAAATCAATCAGTTGTAACTTCTAAATACCCTAAACATCTTTTGTGCATCAGGAGCACAGCGGTAGAATGCTAGGCAACCATACATGTCGTTCGGGGTTCGATCCCCGGCCAACACAATGTCGAACCTCACAAAGCTATGAATAAGACTGGTAAAGAGGGAAGGTTGGGCATGAAGCTAGCAACCCCATCCCGTAAAAAATAAACACCACTATTACTTAAACTTCAAGTTTCTAGCTCGAGATCCCATGTTCCACTCAGTAAGTGGAGAAATAAAAAAAGTAAACATCTTTCAGGAAAATTTGGAAATGAAACCTACCGAATCACCATATCTTTGAACGTGGCTCATATCTGTTTCACGTCTAACCTCTTTAAACTGATCGTCAAGACTACGTTTAGTTAACTCATGCTAGAATAAAAAGAGAAGAAGAATAAGAAGCAGCAGCATCAGCGAAAAGATGTTTTGATCAGAATAAATATTTCAAAATCAATTATAAACAGTTTGTTCAACACAAAACACAACTACTAATAATGATTTTCTCTATCCCAACATAGCACTCATGATACAGCATGAAATTTCTGCATTTTGTACAGTTTTACTCGAGGACAACAAGAAAACGTGACAGGGTATAGGTAACCAAAATTGATAGCAGCAACATTTTTGCCGTTAGCAGCAACAATCAGTTGAAAAATATGCAGGATGTAAAAATGCTACTGGTAATAATGTTAATAATTGAAATTGTAACAAAAAAGAGAATATAAAAGAGCGATTTATTTTGGTAATTACACAGTAAGTTATAATCATCACTATCTCTAGCACACAGAACACTGGCCAAATACGCTATCGTTGAGTTTTTATTTGGTTGTGTGAGCATATAATCTTTTATAATGACCTGATGAAATGCAAAGTGATCAGATTTGTGAGTAGAGAAGGTGTTGAGAGTCAGACAGCGTGGATTTAGATCATTTCTTACATGAGTGTAGGTGTCTGTTGACTATAGTAGTAACGAGCTGAATTTTTGGCATCATAGTACTTGCCCTGCTGAATACCTTCAATATCCTTCACAATAGGACATAGTTATTTTTGACTGGCTTAGGAAAGACTATGGAGGAGCAATAAAGAATAGTAGGTAAGATGCAAGAGTTAACAAATTGTGAAACTTAGTGGATAAGTGACTCCTGATTGTCTTAACTTCTTAATGTAGAAGGTGAGACTGAACATTTTTTTGGAAATGGGATGACCAAGAAACGTTAGAGGATATAGCAAGTCCATGGCATTTTATCCTTGACTTAGTATCTTTTCAGTGCTTTCTATGTTATAAGCACCTTATGAACAAACAAGTTCGTGTAGATCACGTTTATACTTGAAAGTGACACTAAGCTTATTTGCCAAAAAGAGCTTCGATTATATCTGCTTTGCCATCTGAAAAGACTAATGTATGCTTCATATATGGCTATCACCTAGATATGAAAATTTCTAGAGTTAAATTTGCAATTTGGTGAAAATTCACCACACCATCTATTTGATAATATTATTCACGGCTAAGAAGGAAAGCAAAACAAGATGATCATATGAACCATTGATTGATGTGTCGCTGAATATCATTCACGTCGAACGGTAGTGATTGTAAGACAGACTGATGTGATTTAAACTTAAGAAACGTTACCACGAATGTATTTTGATTAAACATCACCAAAGCTGATTGACTCAGTAGTATCAACACAGAACTTTGCCCAAAAATGTAGCCAACCGAGTTGCCTCACTCCATGGAACACACAAAGAAAGATAAAAGACAAGGAAAATGAGGTTCAAAAGAACAACAATAATAAGCAGAATTTTGAGGGTGAAAATTGTAGTAACATGGAAAATCATGAAGGTTTAATGAATGTATAAATTCACAAAAAAATTAAATGCGTCTCCACCACTGAGGACAATTTCGAGCCATGCTAACAACTGTCTCCAACCATCGGTTCTTAGCATCTCGAAAAGCAGAATAAGAAAGGCTCCACTTTCCTCCCTGCCTTATGTCGTCGAAGCGTTGATAATAGAAGCCAACAACTCAACAGAGACAAAGTATTTTGATCCCACAGATATCAGTCAGCTAGAAACAAAAAAGATAACCTAAAATAATTAAGCATTTTAATCTGATTGATTCACATTGAAATAACTTGTAATTTGTATATTTTATATTGAGACAGTAGTCCTTGTGAACTAGGGAATAATGCTTTGTGCGTCGGTGATTCAGTGGTAGACTGCTCGCCAACGAAACACGTGTTCCGGGGTTCAGTTGCCAGTCAATGCATTCCTAAATCTCAATTAACTGGTAATAAGCCCAGTAAACGGAGGAGGTTGGTCATTAGGCCAGGAGCCCACCCCATAATAAAATTCAATACTGAAACTTTAAAGTTCGAGCCTGAAATCTTATGTTCCGTTTGGAGTGCAAAGGAATGAAAAATAAATATTGAGACTCGGAGACTGATAAACTGGACTTCTTTTTGGCATTAGGCTCTACTTAACTGTTAGGCAAAAGCGTTAAAAATGATTTAGGCTTTGCACTATGCATATGCAAATGTCTATTGCTTCCTTATGAAGGAAGAACATGTGTTACCTTTACGTAAGTTATATTAATAGTGAAATTACTGTAAAGCATATTCTTTGTTGGTATATTAACTGATTTTCTCATCTCTTAGCGTTCCCTGTGGATCTTCAGACTTTAGGCCTTGAATTTACTGTAGCACTTTTCTTTTTACAGGATGAGCTTGCTCATGCTGCTCAACCTGCCAACTTTTTCCAGCCCTACTACCAACTAGGTAAGATTTAGGAATGCGTCAACCAGGAATGCGACATGGATCACGCCTGTGGCTGGCGAGCGTTCTCTTCCTGAACCACTGACACACCCTGATATGATCTATTCATGTGAATTATTTTTAATTTAATTTATACATACTTTTTCAGAGTCTACAATCCAGTCGTATGAATATAAATCTGCCAAACAAGTTGAAATCTGTGGATCGCTGCAAAATGTAGCCCAACTAGATTCTCGTGGATTTGCAGCTGTTGTTGCATAGACTGTAAATGTAAAATAAATGTTAAAAAGATTTATAAACATTACTAATTGAGATTAACAAGCAATGCAAAATTAGACACTGAAAATGAAGTTAATTTTCATTGTGAAACATTCCACAAAAGTGCAACAGTTCAAATTACTTACACTTCATAAAAGCATAGATAAGGGCAGAGAAGAAAGGGCTATAATAATAATAACTTTCCATGGAGAGAACATTTCCACGAAGAATAATGAGGATCTAATGGGTCCGGAGGTTGAATGGATTTTAGCCATTGGCAGCGATTTTGAGCCATAGTGCCAATAGTCTCAAGTCATCAGATCTCAGCATCTTGAGGAAACTAGCTGGACAGTCTCCACCTCACTAAGCTGCTCAAACCAGCGTATAAAGACTTCATGGATTGATTTCATGCTTTGGCTTCACCGGCTCTAACTCTTTTAAGAACCATTTCTATGTCAACCAACATTTTCAGGCGCGAAAGACGACGACTCCGCATGTTAATCAGTAGATAATAAGGTTTTCTGTCTGTCTGGATTCAACATAGAACTTGGCACCCAAGTGCACCAGTTCCAGTTGCCACGTTCCAAATAGCACACAGAGGTAGGCAAGAAGATGAGTGAAGAGAATCAATAGAGTTTGACAGGTATAAGAGCGAAACAGAATGGGTAATGGTAGAAAGGAATATGAAAGATTACAGAGACTGAATACATCTTCGCTGGCCATTGACAACGATTTTGAGGCATGTCACCTATTGTCTCCAGCCATTGATTCCTAGAGTCCCGAGGGCCCCAACCTGGAAGTCTGCATCTCCCTACCTACCTGACTCAGTTTAACTGTCAAGGATTTCATGGATTGATGAGGCCATGTTTTTGTTTGGCCACCACTTACCCTTTTCCAACCTTCACCTATATCAGGTAGTAATGCCCGTCGGGGGAGGCGATGGTTAGGCATGCGCAGCACGTGACCTAGCCATCTCAATCTATGTCACTTTATAGCCTCGTCGATTGATTTACCTCTTTGACCAACACTCTACGCCTAACGTCAACATTACTTACCTTGTGAATCCACCTAACGTGAGACAGAGATCGCAGACATCTGTGATAGAAAGCAGTCAACCCTTCTCTGTCTTCAACTTGTATTGGCCATGTTTCAGAACCTTAGAAAAGGATGGAGCGAACTGGTTGATAGCCGGATGTCACGCCTACGCCAGAGATGGTGTAAGTCAGCGAAAGCAGCTCGAGCTTTTGGGATCCGTGCTGAGATTTCATCGCCAATCAGTCCGTTGGTCCTGATAAAACTTCCCAAATAGGTGAAGTGGTCAACATGTTCTATCACTTCACTCCCTATCACTAAGCTAGGAGTTGACGTAGTCCAGTCCTGTAGCAGCATCTTACATTTTGTAGGGGTGAATCGCATGCCAAACATACGAAGATTGCTGCTCAATGTGTTCAGAAGACTCTGCATTTTTTCAGCATCCTCCCCTAACAGGACTATGTCATCTGCATATTCTAAGTCCATAAGACTATTCTCTGGTAACAATGGCTACTAGTAGTTTTTCAAATGACGTGATGTAAACAATTCTCAAAATCTTCTCTCAATCTTCATTCAGTTCATGTGGAGTTTCATGTATGGAGAGATTGTAGTCGCGTCCAGTTATTCTTCAGCCAAACACATGGTGAGTCTAAGGCTAACTAAAGTTATTTCATCAATTAACAACCTGTACTCCACCTTCTAATTCATTGTCATTAAAAGTAAAAGGGAAAAGATTTGACTAGGAAGCTGGTTCGGTAACGCTGAATTTGCATAATGGCTAACCATAAATCGGTCCGAATTATGAGCTGGTTAGGATCTGGGTCCTAAGGGTAGGTTAGCAGTTCACTTGGTTAGCAATACCGAGTCCAATTGTGTGAATTCTTCCGTAACCAAGCTTTTCATTTTATCCTTATAAATGATGGATAGAAGAAGGACCAAGGACATGTCCTAAGTCCTATTCAAGACTTGTCAGTTGAATATATCTGCATCTCCAGAGAATGATGGTTTGAAATTAAGACTCAAGCTTAGCATATACTGTTTTAAATCTCAAAGCATTATTCATTAGTTCACTGTTGCTCACCAAAGCCTCAGCATCCATCTGATGAATCTCTAATAGAACGAAACGTGTGTTTAAGATTCCATTACAAGTCAGAAAAAGATGTGAAAATTTAGCATAAATAACTCCATCTGAAGAACAACTGAGGACGACAAAATGTAGGTTTTAATAATAGTACATCTAATATATGTAAAACATATGCAGCATAGTCAATCTTCAATCAGCAAGATTGGTTGGAGGTGGTGACATGCATCGCGACCGGCTTAACACATAAACTTATGCCGTTAGATCATTGGATTACAAGTTGTGAGAGACTGAAACACGCTTTTTTCCAATGAATTAACTAAGTGTAAAATTATGTACTGTAATGAATCGTCAAATTAATGACTAAGTGTTGCCATGATCGCCTGCTAACCTGACAGTCCTAAGTTTGATCCCCTTTGGGATTATGGGTGCGTTATGGTGATGGCGAGTCCCAAACTGGCACGAACCAGTCACCCAGCACTACTGTTTGGTGACGGATGATACCATGAAATCATTTAAATCCGGGTTTCGAGTTGAGTTGATTGAATGCGGATTTTCTGAGGGGTAGGTATGCACTGTATCACTGAGCCGCCGACTCTACTTATATATAATTACATGTCAAATGATCCCCAACGGAAGACTCATTGAAGCCATTAAAGTGTAGACAGGCGGAAGACATGGATATCTGCTATCACTGACGGTATTCCTAATTGTGGTGGACTGGATTATGTGACGGACTTTGGGAAGGGAGAGGTTAAGAATACGTTGAGCCGAAAATCTAGAAAAATCTAGAAGACTTGGACGTTGCCGATAGTTTATGTCTAATATGAACGCAGACTCGCCCGTCGAAAACCAACGAGTTGACTGAAAAAGCAGGAAGCGAAAACAAGACTTAGATAGAGTAGATAGAAGTAGTGAAGATATTCATCACTCAAAAGCAACCAGTACCAATCACTGTCAGCAGGAGAAATCTGAAGGAGGTCACTTCTTTCACTTGTCTACGAAGCATCGTCTGACTTACAGGCAGCGCGGATGAGTCCGTCAAAACCAGGACAGAAAAAGAAGGAAAGACTTCCACTACTCGCGAAGCAGCATGGAAATCTTCTACAATCAGCATAAAGAACAAGACTGAGATTTTTAACAATGATATCAAATCAGTGCTATCATATGTTATATACACTTTGCGCGCCACGAAAAGCATTTCCAACAGCTTTCTTCGCTCCGTATTGAAGACCAGATGGCCAGTAAAAATTAGCAACAAGAACCTGGTAATGAACCAATCAGGAACCTGTTACTCAAAAAATATACTGGAGAAAATGGAGACGGATTGGTCACACACCGAAGAGACCATCGGGTGACGTTGCGCGCTAGGCTATCACCCGAGTGGGACTTGAATCCGAAACAGTGAGTTATCCGTGGAATCGATGTTGATATCAAAGAGGTCATGTGAGAAGGAGATGAGAGCCTATGGACAATAATGCACCCAGCTTAAGAGAACTGCAGAGATCAGAACGAAATGGTACTTCGCTGTTGAAACCCTATGTTCCACTCGGAAACCAAGGGAACTGAAGTGTCACTTCATTTAATCATGGGATTTCTTTCTGTTCAGTTAGTGATCAACAAACTGACAACTGGCAGGAGTCACTTTCCGTTGTTCGTTACATTATGTAATGTCACACTTAGATGAAGACTTCAATCATTAATCTCTATATTATTTCCAAGTATTCATCCACTTAATATTATTTGTTCAATGTAACTAACTGTGTAATCAAGGATGAGCATTATCTCTTTTTTGGTATTTATCATCTGCAAATACCTGCATTCCTCGGTGACTGACTGTGTACCCACTGAGGCTTGAACTCAACACTTATAGTTTTGAAACGCCAAAGTATTACCCGCCAGACCACTTGAGTTGCGAGACTGGCCTGTTGTACAACGCTATTCAATTATTATTGATTTTCCCAGTTGATTGTTTGAACCAAGGTGTTCCGCCTATGCTGAGATGCCGGCTGAATTTCACTCCACCAGTTATTAAGAAATACTAACTAATAATTAATCAGACAAATATTAAAATGCTGACATTCGAATCGTTTTAATTAATTAGTTAATTCGACTTACTATTCATATTTGACGGTAAAATTTTTGAGAACATTGAACCAGATTCACATGCTTCAATGTAAAAAACTAATTTTGAATAACGTTTATGCTTATGCATGTATTTCAGTGTATTTATCAATTCTTTTGCAGTTAGCTACAACAATTGCGGGAAAAAAATAGATCAAAAATTAACTCAGGTCACTTCTTGATCGACCATGAAATCACAATTAAATCCCAACAAACCAACACTTGAAAATTAATCTGGTGGTCACTAGTGACTGGTTTCAGGATGATGTTACCTGAAGTTCTGGCGAGAAGCTGTGGCGATTGGCGTCCATCAAGCATGAGGACAAATACTACTCACTGATGACACTGGCTGGCAGTCGCGCTTTGTGTCGTGGGTCGATGGGGTTTGGAACTGTTGGGCTGTTAGATTAAGTCTCACTGGTTGAATGGTCAACGAATACACTTAATAACCTGAATGTGCTGGGTTCGATCTCTGGTGAGGGTCGTGGGAGCAGGCTGCTGAGGAGTCTGAAATTAGAAGGAAGCAGCTGTTCAGTACTTCCTGATTTCCAGTGGTTTTCCAACTGAAATCATTTTGCAATCAAACTTTAAAAATTAATTTATGCGATAATTACATTATTTGCGGGACTGGAAGATTGAGTGAAGAAGCATTTCGATCTCCAATCAACTCTTCATCACTGACCTTGGTCTTACAGATATATATATATATAAGCTGTAAGCAGATGATGAGAAACCAACGAAATAAATGGTGGTACCATCTTATTCTGCACTATCTATTTTTGCCGCTTTATTCAGATTATGTATGTGTTGAAGAAATAAGAAATAACTAGCGGATTGTACCCCCTATTCTTGTATCTATCAGTCTGACAGCTCCTTAGAAGCTATTCACATTTAGCATTCAGTTAGGCATGTCTTTCCTCTGGTTTCCAAACATCATCATCATGTATGGTTAGGTAAGGAACAAACAGGTTCTAATCACAGCTCTGATTTAGCTCATCTTGCAGATACTGATCACAAAATTGGTGTCAGCAGTAGTGATGATAATAATAACAATATTAATAGTAATAACTTCTAAGTGACTTAGGTTCAAGGGGAAATTGTCAGTCTTACACCTTTATATAAAGATTATCAAGATAATGAAGCGTTCTGTACAAATTTCCTCTGGACGGAAAGCTTTAGTTTCTTCAGGTGGATTCCGATTACTTCTAGTGTATGTAGAAAATGAACTCGTAAAACAAAAGAGAGATCATTAGGAAACTTTAAATGCTTGGTTAACGTCAATTTTATGATCAGTATATCCAAGGTGTGGTAAAATAAAGGCATGAAAAAATTTGTTCATCCCTTGATTAACCATACAGAATGATGTCCGGAAATCAGAGGTTGAGGGAGCTTGATTATACATCTGATGTAACTGGCTCCGCAAGAGCAGTCAAATTAGTTTGTGTGCATGAAAGAGGCGAATTTAGGTAAATTGGCTAAATGCTAGTCAAAGAGAAGGGATTCAAACACATTACGACAGTTTCTCTTGTTTGAAGCATAGTTCGTCATCTGTGCAAACGGTTTGACTCATTTTGAGTTTGATTGGGCATAAAATAAAGCGATAAAAGTCTGTGCCTATCTAAAAGTAGTAACATTGAAATCTTAAGATGGAAGGAAACATTTACAAAGGTTTATTGAAAAATTAGCTGTTGATTAACTCATCCAGGTCGACAGATTAGTACCCACGGATAACAGTTATTTAACATTTAAGCTATTGTTGGGGAAGCAGTCTCATATAACCTTGAGTTGGCAGGCTGTTACTGATGTAAGGTGATAGAAGGTGAAATGATAATGGGGGTCATGGCATGATCTGGACTTATGGCCTCCATGTTACCAGTTCGATGTCAGATCACCTGAGAGCTGAGAGTCTCAGCTGTTAATCAGGTTATCGTTCGGATTCAGTAATCATCATGGGTAATACCTAGGTATGTCAGCAGCATTAATAATAGCTTATATTGATCTCACTTATTCGCATAATTTGTGTTTATATTTACAAGCTATTATGATGCCATAAACTGCCACATACTCAAATAGAATAGATTAGCTGTTAATTTATCAGCTGACTTTGATAGGTGTGTTTTCGCAAACACTGACTGTATACATGAATGCTAGTAAAATACACACTACTTTTCAGTCAATATGTCTGATGATTTGATTCCGAATCAGTGTTATTAACATCATGTGACGTAAAAATGACTAACACTTGGTGAGTTAACACCTCATTTTGTTATAATGGAGTGTTACTGGGTTGGTGGTTCGTCTAACTTGACTAGAATACGCCTCCAAAACACGATACTATGACCAAATGATTCCTTGAAATTATCTACCGCACTGAGACAGACACAGAAATCAGACTGGGAGAAATGACGACGGGAAATCGACAATCTTCATTAGACAAAATACTTAGTATATTACACTTACAAAACCCTCAGGAAAAAAGCCATCATTAAACGAACTAAAACTGTCCCATAAGGTTATCATGTCAGCACATGAATAAATCACGCTTTCACTGGTAATAAAGAAGGTCTTCCATCCAGACACATTTTGATGTATTTAACATAAATAGGTCTGCAGTAATTTATTGGTAGAGATTTCAGTGAGTAAAAGCATTAAGTTATGTAATTTGTATTTTTAATATTTCTACTCTTATATTAACATTCTTACCTCATCTTCAGGGAATTCAACGCTTCCAGGAGACCCATGATCAGTAAAATAGATAAACACGTCATCATTCTTTCCACTATAAACAAAGTAAGAAATATATTAACGCAAAGATCTTACTAGATTAGTTTAAATTGACATTCGATCGATCAGTATATTGGACAGACATACTTAGTCTGTGCTGACATGTCAACCTCCTACTAAGCACTCAGTGCCCCAGTGGAACAGTGGATAACGCTTCGTTGTTTGAAACGATGGAACTCAGCAGGAGAACAATCACCTTTCAATGGGCATCAAGCACTTCCAGTTAGTGAGTCCTAAACTGGATGAAAAGGCATATGCTAGATTCCCCTCCTAGCTTCCATCAATCAAATATAGACGCAAACAGTATTTATCTAGTGTTTTATATTCAAGAATTATGAAATGTAAAGCTTAAATGATCGAACAAGGCTGCTTTCGAAATTCGTTGTATCGCAATGTGTGTGTTAGTTGGCTTCGCAGAGTGTGAGTCTTCCATCGTCTAGGCTCAAAAGCATTTTTGTTAATTACGCTATGATTGAATCTCCAAAAAGAGACCTAGAGTGACAGTAGAGTTCAAAACGTGACTGTTTTGGCTAAAATCAATCTAGTTGGTTTGCATATCACTCTTTCAGTCTCCGAGGTGTAACTGGCTTGAAGTTTGTTGTAATGAGTGTCACACTTTTATCTTCAATCATTAGCGCATGATTCTAATTTCACTTTGACGATTTTAGGATTACTTGCACTTTTAGTGGTCGAGACGGGCGTTTAACAGGTACTAATTCTCCCAAACTTCAATTAAAGCTTCCGTAATATCGCTGAATAATGTATTACTTCTAAATAGGAGGCACTGCACAAGCTGGTTGCGTCCGTGGTTTACGGATAGAATGCCTACTAGCCACGCACATGGTTCAGAGTTCTATTCTCTGCCGATTCACACCAATATCTCGTCTAGGTTACCAGTCAATAGTAGGCTCGGGAAAGAGAAAAAGGCTAGCACCCTGCACTGTGAAAGCATGGCTACTGAAACTTCACAGTTTCACAAATGACGGTCTGAAATGATGACGACTGCCTTAAAGTACACATGGGGCATAACTTTTCTGAGCCATCCAACAAGAAAATATTGGAATAGCTTCCTCACTTTCTAAATACAGTTTGCTGTTCCGATATTGATTTGTGTATCTGTTCATCGTTGTCTACCTTAATTTCTTACATATACTGAAAGAGAACCAGGTCAACATCTTGCATTATTGTATGAGATCATAGACTGTTGGTGTGGATGGTGTAGGGCAGCGTAATTTGACTAGTTTGAGGACAACAGACATCCGTGTTCAGGAACTGACTGCCGTGATACAGATTTATTCATACTTTGTCTTCAGTTTAGATGAAGTAGTGGTTATTAGAACAAGTTCAAGATTTGCAAACTAGTGAGTATTTCGCAATGTACCTACTTCTTGAAGTGTAATTTCACCACAGTTTCCTGTTGATACTAAATTATTCAGATCAAAGTATATGATCTGCTTGGTTCCATAAATGGTGAGTAAGAAAGCAAGCATAGTTAAGTAAAACTAAATACTTATGATTAGCTGAGATGAATACATGTACACCACATGTGTCGGCCAGTATTGTTACTAGCCAGTCATATTGTAGCGATCTACAGACCAGACTACAAATTGTGAATTTGACCGGTAGTATATCACTGTATCAGCCCTCTGAGTTGAGGCGAAACCGGAACATTGCTAACATTCTCGGCGCCAAATGAGAGAGACTGCCACCCAGTGTTTAGGCCACTTTGATGAGCTGGTTGATATGGTTGGCATAAAACTACTTATCTCAATCAATAAGTAGTATATAGTTTTATACAAGTAGTGGCTATTTCTTTATTTTATCTTATAAGGCTTTAAAAGTATTGGTGAGTTTATTTCCACACTTTCGCCTAACTGGTATCGTCGCGTTAACTTAGCCAGATAGTTTAATTGAGAAGCTTTCTTCATCTTTCTGGGTAAAATCTTCAGCTCTTAGTTAAATATGAAGTGTATTTCTAGAATTCGTCATTAGCTTAATCACAGTCTGTGCTGATAAATTCTAATATGACTAGCAGTCTCCGAAGTTTTTCTTATCCTTATATTCACTTGTACTAATAATGGTCATTTTGGTAAACTTGATATTTCATCTCTTGTTAATATGACTTCTTTTTTGTCGCCCGAAAAAAATTGATCACTACTAACAGAGATGAAAGGATAGATTGGGGGGTGGTGGTGGGGGATTCTGGAGAATCTTGGTCATTTTTGAGTACATCAAAAAAGACAGTTATTATGCTGGTGTAGGATTTGAAAACCTCTCTTTATCTTAAAGTTGGCGCTAAAGATGTTGTCCGGAAGGATAACGAAAGATTGGCAATTAAACCATCCAGCTCAGTCTTTTGCATGTCATACATGTAGATGAATCAGTCTGACTTTGGAAATTAATCCAGAAACAATATCTCAAATAAACAATGAATTCAAACCTCCAAACTCACTCAGGGACAGGGTCTGTAGGCTGAAGTAACCTATCAATCCCATTAGACAGGATAATCTTATCAAAAACATACTTTTCAATGACTGCAATGTATCAAATACTTAGGTAATCAAATTATCTCAACATAAGAATTTGGCTAAGTGTAGAATGACTGAACCTTCGAAGATGAATACTTTGAAGAAAAACTAAGCAGTTGCAATGTTAAAGCGTTAAAATACATTCACATAGCAGAGTGGCACACAACTACCGTTCTAAAGATTAATATGGGTGGATAGGTTGTTCATTGAATCTACATCTACTATGTGCATTAAGAACGGCATAACAATAATACGAGATATGTGAAAAATACTACATCCAATAAAGTCAAAGGATAATACATAAGAGTCAAAGATAAGTACTGTTGATGAGTTCCAAACTAGGACGAAACTTCTGTCCAGTACTTGCAGATTTCCAATGGTTCTGTAATTGAAGTCATTTTATGAATAAATTTGATATATATAACCAACGTTCATAGTTTATGTAATTATAAACAGTGCATTATGCTTTAAACTTCATCAGTAAATAAATAATCCTTTATCAACCTGTGTTCTTTTCATCAAATAAAATTACTCTACGAAGGAATTATGCCTTCCAGCAGTGCTTCATTTCTGTGCTTATAATAATGAAAGTTTCCAAATTAAACTATCCAGTTCAATGAACACAACTACGCCAGTATCATCATCATCATCATCAACTAACTGAGCTACAAATCTTCTGAATTACTCTTTTGTGTTCACCTTGTTCAGTGCGATACACTCGATATGCCAATGTAGTACGCATGCATTTTGAAAGCCTATGTAGTTATGTCACATATGATTTGTCTTTTGATTTCTGTTTGCAGTAGGCTTCTGATATTCAGGTTGACGTTGAGTATATGTTTCCTAGATGGACAATGAAAGCTTCGTAACTAAAGCATCCATCTTAGAAAAGACAACTACACCTCGTGTTTCAGATGCCAATAATTTCAGGTGAATTAATCTGTCAGTTATGAACCAGGGAATGATATCTCAAATGGGCAAAGTTAAACTTTAAGCACCACTAACTACCAATCAGCGAATGACCTCAAAGGAACCAATCACGTGAAGGAGGCATTTTTGTGTATGAAATACAAATATTTATGAAAAAAATGCATAAAAACTGTATAAAAGTGTTACAGAGGATATCTTTCTCTCACATGTGATAAAAATAGCTCTCAGTTTTAAGTTGGAGTATCAACACAGTATAATTTCATTGTGGGTAAAATTTATTTTGATAAAGTCTCATAGTGTTATACAGCAATATTTACTGGGCAACAAACTGTACTCGAAACCTCGTCATCATGAAATTTACTGCATAACACCTTGAGAATTTATCGAAATAATTGTTACCCAAAATTGAATTTTACTCTACTCTACTACAGTGCACAAGTTCTATTCTTATATCAACAGAGGAATTTAACCACATTCTATGCGTGTAATTATCTAGGTCTCTAACCCTAACAATAACACAAATCTTTCCTTAACCTAACTTTGACGTAAAAATATCCCTAAACTAATTGTAATCTAACTCAAACCAACCATAACGTCGCCTTTATTAGGTTAACCTAACACTAACTTGTCCTTCGCTTAAAGCGTAACTTTATCTTTCGCAAACGTAAGAAGAAACTTGTCAGATATCCCATTCAGTAGCATAACACTTCGATCAGCATATTTTATTGATGATGACAACATTATTTGCCAGGTTTCACTTACTTGCTCACTGAGCCTTACAAGGTCACTGGTGCGATCGCACTCCATTGGTAGTCAGTTGTGCTTAAAGTTTAACTTAGCCCTCAAATGAATTGTTATTTGATTAAAAAGGGATGAATCAGACAAGACAAGATGAAGTTGAGCTAATTTTAAAGCTTTTGTTTAATAAAAGTAATTTCAACTCACCTGTTCAAAACTTTTTTCCCAGCTCTTTTGTCACCTTTTAACACTTGTAGGAAAGTCTTTGGGTTAACTTTCTAAAATAATTAATAATTAAACAAAAAAGGTAGTAGCAGTAGTAGTGAAAGAAACAATTTGACAGAAATGCTTAAAATGTCCTAGGAAGATCTCAGTTTGGAGGCCTGATTTTATGTTATTCATATCAGAGTAAAAAGACAAATTGCCTTACATTCAAGTTGATGCGTAAACTCATCATATATGTATGTAACCTTGTGCGTAGGTGGTCCAGAGGTGGAATATTCGCCAACCACGCATGTAGTCTAGGGTTCGATCACCGGCGGATGCAGTCCATAACCTCACTAAGCCGGTAGTAGGCCTGACCAGGAGGAAAGGTTGGAAATGAGGCTAGCAACGTCACCCCATAAGGATAAAACTGCTGCTACCTAAACTTCAGAGCTCTAGTTTGAAGCCCTATGTTGCACTCGGAACCCAATAGAATAAATAATATATAACCTTAGAACATTTGGACCTCGATGATGATTTGAGTGAAACGCAGTACAAATTGAAACATCTCAAGGGTAACACTAACAAGTTGACAGAGGAAGGGGAGAAGTATGGTGTGAAGTATTCTGCACCAGTTACAAATGTCTGGATATTTATGCAGTAATGTCATGTTAATCAGTACCTCTACATGCTTCAGAAACTTTGCATTCGCGTCACCGAAAGCGTTTCTAACCGGTTATTACAGAATTGCATCAACAGCTGCCTTAGATCCATTTGAAGATCAGATGGCTGGTCAAAAAGGTTATGCCACAAGGAATTCTGATAACAAACCAATTCATCAACTACTACCCAACAATTATGCAGATTGAAATACAGATGGAGTGGACAAAGGCAATGGAGACCATCAAACCTAACTCCATCCTTTGTAGGAATAAAGAGGTATTCATGGCTGCATGGAGCTGGCAAGAACCAACGAAAGGTGATGATGTCATTTTATCTCATTCAATGTATTCCTCTTGCCTTCCTCAAGTTTATCAAGGGAGCTAGCTGTATGAAATTCAATTCATATACGCACTGAAGATGTTTTTAATAGGACAATGAGAGGTTAGCAATCTAGCCACCGGGCTGAAAGGATGCAAGCACATCAAAATATATTCTTATCATTAATGACATTTCATTCATGATAAGCAAGAATTAAAGGCACTGAAATAAATGACAATGGCGACAACCCCAAAAATGACAGCAACAACTTACCCCATGTTTGTAGTCAATAACTACGCCTTTGTAGTAATCCTTATGGTGATAGTCATTGAAAATTTTTCCTTTGAAAGGATTGCTAAAAGAAAAATTTCAGTTATATAAGCATATTGTTACTTGGAGGTATACACTACTAACTAATTTGAGTAGTTGCAAAATTCATTCATTTCGGATAAGATAGAGGTGGTGGTTAGCACATCAGTGATTCAACTCAAACATCCGAATCAATTGAAACTGTCTGAATTCTGGATAGCTACTGAGGTAGTCTGGTAGTGCATTGAACTGGATTCGTCATTTGTAAACAATACAGTTCAAGGAGATGATTCAGTTCGAGTGGTGAAGTTTCACTCCAGTTACCTGTGGGTCACATCTTGTGATCTGAATATTTTTAGTTTCTTAAGGATACCTAGAATACCTATAAATTCAACTCAACAGTCATTCGCCCAAATAATTCTGAAAGGGGATTACTGTGGTGGAGGCGGTAGTGACCCGCCAACATGATCCTGAAGTCTGTGTACAGTATTTTATTCTATCATTGTTTTTAACTCTTTCCTACTCGTTGGCTTCTATTTTTAGTGATTAGTCCAAAATCATCACTCTTAGATTTTTCTTTTCAAAGTTTAATAGGCTTTTCCCCCAACTTCTCATTTATCAAGTGAACAATTAACCAAATTTGCTACTCATCCGTTGACAATTCTAACCTTACCAAATTTCAAACCCTCACTTTCATTGTGTTGCTGACTATTGTGTAATTACTGGTTTGATCACGCGATGACATCGGTTAGAAAACCACTATAAAATCTGGGTGTGCTAGACAGATGGTTTGTCTTAGTTTGTGACTATTCAGCAGTATGCATCCAATGGGGTTTGAACTCAGGACCTTGCAGTTTCATAGGGGAGTATATAGACCATTCTCGGTAACTGTAACCTGACCCAATGGCGCGTGAATTCATCTTCCGCAAATTCACAACCATCGGCCAATATCAAAGGTGAACAACTGTTCGCTTACCTGACTTGGTGGATCCTGCTAGTTTCTTTTCGCTCGGACTTCAGGTAACTTCCTGTTTATATCCATTTGCTAGTGAACATCAGAATAATTATAAATCCTTGGATTGGGTTCCAGTGGCTGAGAATGGTTTATCAGCTATCCTTGTCACTAGACATTCCTGGTGTGTACTGTGAAGAGTCACAAACTAGGATGAAACTTTTGTCCATGCACTTATAGCCGGTTTTCCAATGGTTTTGCAATCGATATCAACTCGTGATGAAACCTGTAACCAATCAGATCCCTGCAGACCAACACCTGATTGCCATGTAATTTATTTTTATTTATAAAAGCCCCTTCTGAGTAATTTCATCAGTTATATGAGACATACTACACTATTACGCAATAACAGACTACTTCATATTTTAAGGTAAATTTTGCGCACTACTGTACGACCTTTGAAGATGGCATTGTCGATTAAGAGAAATTTTACTTCACTGAATTTTCTTTTATTCATTCTAATTGATAACTCTTTGAGAGCTTATAGTCATATCATTGTGTATAGGGTAGAATCACACCTACTGGTAAGGAATTTCTATGTCTCACCCGTTTATCTGAAGCCTAAGCATACAGATTTCTTTATTTCTCCACACTTTTATAACTACGATAAACCTCATTTAGATTCCCATTGATCCATGGGTAGAAACATACCAATTGAGATTGACTCACTTCAGAAAAAAGATAAAATGCTTAATTCTAATATATGTGTAAAACTTGGCCACTGTGGTAGTAAGTAATTCCATATTAGTTTGTTTATTGGATGCATCACACTGTAAAACAGTATTATTTACTGGATGGCGTTTCGAAAACAATTTATTGTTCATAATCAAACCATCAATTATGATCACACGACTTCGAAGCTTGAGTTTTATAGATTTCTTTGTTCTCTCCTGTTTGTCGTCGTTAGGGTAGTAGAATTTTCCACATATCTTGGACAGGTGTTGATAAGATAAGAAATCTAGAGAATAGTTCAGGTATAGCATTACATGCAGTTACACACAGCCACACAGTAGGCTGGGATAGGATGACAGTTTTAAAATCTAATGTCACAGAGTGGAGAGAGAGACTGATAACAGAAGCTTTGTTTATCGAATCAACTGCAAATACGTGTAACAGGAATGATTCCACACCTGTTCCAGATATCTGGAAAATTCTACTACCCCTACGACAAATAAAGGAGGACAAAGAAAACTATAAAACTCAAGTTTCGAAGTCGTGTGATTATAACTGATATGATTATAAACAATAAATTTTGTTCGAAACATTGTCATCCAGTAAATAATACTGTTTCTTCACTATGTGATACATCTATTAAACAAACTAATATGGAATGCTTAATTCTAGTTGTGTAAGAGTACTGAATATTCATCAACTTAAGCGGTTTCGAATTAACATATCTTTGCCACCATAATTCCACAGAGATCAGTGATTGTTATTGTTTGCAATTAATAGTGTTCTCTGAGCTGGTTGGTTATTAGTGTTTCCCTGGGCTGCAAGTGGAACTTAGGGCTTCTGCAATATATCACCATTTCCCACCGTTATCTGCAATCGTTTTTGAGGTGACTCCGCGATTACACACAAGTTTTCATTTCTCTTTCACATAAACTTCTATGTGTCAGTCTAATACCTTCTTGAGGGTCTGACGTGGGATATCACTCAGCAGTCTCTTGAGAGTATGTTCAGTCCATCTTGATTTGCTTCCGCATGTTTGTTGACCAATAGGTTCCTGGACAGTTCGCTACCAGAACCATTTGTTGCTAATCATTTTTGGCCGTCTGATCTTCAGGATGGAGTGAAAGCTGGTGTTAGTGAAAGTCTTCAATATCCTGTTGGAAATAATTTTGTTCATGCGAGTAACAAGTCTCTAAACCATATATATATATATTAGCTGAACAAACCACTTTATTCCTCTTCAATTATACTCATACCCATCTAACAATAAACTTTTATTATTACTTTTGCTCAGTATAGTCAAATATTTCAGTTCTATTCAATTAATCAATTTCAAGATGTTAATTACTTTTAAAAATAGAAACATGAGGAATTAATCGATACTTATTATATGTATATGAACATATTATTAGTCACTCACTCTTCATTGTGTGCAATATCATCATACATGAATGTGATTATGTGCTCGGGTTTAATACCTTTTGAACGTAGGACATGATACGCGTGACAGACATCAGCCTGTTAATTAAAAGTAATAATAATAATAATAGTGATATACTGTTTTATTCATTTTTAACTAATCTGTATAATTAAAACTTACTTGAGATAATTAATATTCAGATCTCAGTTATAATTCGCTTACTCGGATCAGGTTTTTCATGTGCAAGGCATCAATCTACACTTACTGGGTGACTGCAGATGAGAATGCCTACAGCTTCGCAAGAAGTTGAACTGGGACCGGAACAGAGAATTCACTGATTTAAAGCTGAACTTCTAAACCACAGAGCTATGCCTGATTATCAGTAAGGAGGGCATGCACATGGTGTACGAACCTCCTTACTTGATTATGCATTCTGTTTTTTCCTGACTATTTTGACGTTTAAAACTGGTGGCCTGTTTAAATCACTGCGCTACATTGACTTACAGCAGATTGTATCGTATATTCTGTGATTCTTATTATTTTAACCATTCAGTTGTATCACTGAGTCGCGAAATATTCTCACACATATTATGTTTAAAACCACTGGTGCACATTTCTCAGAGACGAAGGAAAAATACCAAAAAGGGATTCGTCTTTGCTTCAGATAGAACAACATTCAGTCACATGATATACTGTAGATTGCAGTTTTAATTAAAGATCCTGGATGAAGAGAAAATTTCATGCAATAGATTACTTTGAGAATTCTCTGTAATGCATAACCATTCTGTCCGGAATGAAGCTGCTAATATTATCGCCATGACACCTCGTCCAACCTATTGATCTCAGCTCCCTTAATTGAAGAATTTCAAGGATCTCCTTGCAAGAAGACTAGATGGAATTTAAGGAACTTAAGAAAATCACATGGATAGGATAGTTTACATATTTCTCTAGCTTTTTTCCCCTCCAGTACAGAAGAAATTTGATGAGATCACTCAGCTACAGCGTTAGAGCTACATTTACAGAAGATGTGAGTGAAGACGAACTTATATGAATTGTATGTAGCAGCTAAATTGCGAATAGCTGTCAAGGAAGGCTTATTAGGAAGCACATGCCCAGTAAATTTGAAGAGAACACTTCTGCATCTATGACGAAAAGGCTTCTATATATGCGATCGCAGCACAAATGTGAAGTTACAACCAACAAGTTAAGAAAGTCATTTCAGAATAGACGAAATTTTGGTAAGCTGCAGCTCATATTTTCGACTCTCCTGTTTGCGATTTTGAAGTTGAAAGACCAATCACGCAGGCTAGCCACCTCTTATTATATCTATTAATTCATCTCCTGTGCAGCCAGTTATATAGCCCATTGCCTGAGGGATTTAGCCTTTCCTTATAAGGAGCACATACCTGTGTGACTGAAATGGATAGCCTCTTCCAAACAGGCTGTAAAGTCAGTACTGATGGATCGTTTCGCTACCATCTGTCGGGTACCAAAGCCCCTAAATATCAATTACTGTAACCAGTGGAGACTGATGTTATTCTCTTAAAATAACCGTAAGTCTGTGTGGAAAAGAAACAGGTCCAGGCACCATGGCTACCCTGGCCTGTTGTGAATCTATAAATTCATAGATCCTGTATTATCTTAATTTATGTGATATTCAATTCAGCGTTATACTGATGCATATTATCGCATACTGGTGTTTTCAAACGCTAGTCTGTGCGTACTATTACTATTATTTTAACATTTGATGTTGTTATTAACAATATTTTTTTCAAGTATTGGTTTTGTAGGGATTTTGTTTGATTGTATGGAGGATTTCACCATGAGCTAGCGTCAGTTAGAGAACCACTGGAAAACCTGGGAGTACTGGACAACTGTGTCGTCCTAGTTTAGGACTCTTCATAAGTACACACCCACCGCCAGGGCTCGAACGCAGGACCTTCTGGTTAAAAGGCGAGCTCGTAGACCACTGAGCCACTGGAACTTAATCCAATGGTTCTTTAATGGATATACAGCTGTAGAACCTGATGGAGAACAAATTATCCGGGAAAAATACTCATTTGTTCATCAATCAATCGTCTTAGATTTCAAATCACTGTCAAACACTTACTTTTTGCAGTATTTTGCTGCTTACTCGTGGAAACTACCCATCAGAGAAAACAACAAGAAACTCAGAGAACAGATATCTCTTCAGTAATTTTATTTTCAAAATTTGTAAAATCGTACTTTATTTTTGCATAAATCCCCATAGTTGCAATTATCATTATTTAATTTAATACAGTAACAAAGAGATTGAGGATGATAACAGTTTTCAACCTACTATAGAAGTTCGAAGGTGTGACTGTAGATCACAAGAGGTATAGAAACAATATTACATATGATTAGGAAATTTTTAGGTGCGTAAAACGTGAAATAGTCTTTAACGAAGACAGCTGTGAAGAGGTTGTGCATAGAAGCAAACTGAAATAATAGTGTTTATAGCTGAAAATGAAAACAAATGAAGGGGATGAAGAAAGCGACTACTAAGGAGTCAAAGAGAACTAAGTCTAAGGATAATTTAAACGTTAGACTAGTCTCTTTCGAACACACTGCTTCAGCTTTTCAATGTATATGTCGAGGGCTTCTGAATTATCTAGGAGTTGGAAGCACACTGCTATTGATAGATTTTTATTTACTTTGTAAACAACTCTGAGTGATGAGTCAATTGAAATGCTTTGACAAGTGCTGATGGGATGTTCACTTATGACGCTTCTGGGTGAACCAGTAATTACTCTTTGCAGCCATGCTAGACAGTGTTCTCTAACACTTTTTGAAGGGATTCACGTACAATGACCTATGTGCCTAACTCAGCAGGAGCAGGTTAATTGATACATGCATATTGGAATGGATATATGTCAGTTTGTCCTTGACACTACTTAGAAGCAGTGAGCAGTCACAGGAAACTAGTCTCAGTATTGCTACAGATTAGGTCTTGATTAGGGAGCTATAAATTCTCATGTTTAAGATATCTGTAGCTAAGCCTCTTCTGAAGTCTAGATTCAGATACAGTGCCTTCTTCGGCACCGAACTGTATTCTTCTCTTTGTGGCTTTGGTTTCATGTTCCTTTCCAGAAAACTATCGGGTATCCATTTTGAATCGAGGGAATTTCCAGAAATAAGAGGTCTCCTTCTAAGCAATCACTGCTGCAAATCCGGGTGGTATGGTGGGCCAGTGAACCCGACACCCTTGTTATTCTTGCTTTGACGAAAACCTCTTTGAACCTGACATGCAGCCATAAGCTGACTCACTATCCAATTTACTCTGTAAAAACTGGCATCTGGAAGCTGTGAGAACACCACTAGAAGATCTGATGGACTACACAGTTCGGAAAACTATTATCTGATAATCAGAATTCGAATCAGCTGGAATTTGATTGTTTTCGTAATAGGATTTGTGATGAATTATAGGCAGTTAGATAACTACCGAAAAAATTGGAACACTGGATGACCTTTACGAAGTAATCTAGGCAGGGATTTTTTGCAATGATTAATTTCCCTGTTAATTTCCTCCAGCTCAAATAAAACTTTGACTGATGGATTCGTCCAGTCGCAGTAGACTCAAGTTCTTGTTGATGGTATGTAATGGAAGTGGTAATTTACTTCAGTTAGAAAATATGTGTAATTCAATTGAAGTCTAACGGATGGAGGATGACGTACTCACCTCATAAATGCTTTAAACAGTGCCATCACCAGGCATCTTCTCGACACGGGTCATGAGGTGGACGTTGAAAAGTCGTTCAAAATTATCAATAAGCAAAATAGCTCAATTCTCCTTAAGTATGCTGAAGCCATTTCCATCAAGCGCATGAAACCTGATTTATGCGTCCAGAAAGAAGCGGTTATCAGCCTTTCTTTGCCCTGGTAACTGGATAATTTCACCTCTCTTTCATCCGAATGTGAAATGCTAAAAGTTTCCATTGTGTTTGATTATTATTGTTGTTAGGAATAGTGGTTAATATTGCATATTTATATATGTATATATTTTTAGTGTATGAGTATATTGATCGATTGATTTTTGTTTAAACTTAACTCTGTGCAAGTATGTTAAAATTGTTGTTGTAGATATATTTAATAATGTCTTTGCCATGTAAGCAGCTGACGAGAAGGCAACGAAATAAAAGATGGTACCATTTTATTCTGCTAAAACTGTAGTTCTTGCTTTGTTCAAATTCATTAAGGGGAATAAATGTATGAAATAAACATGATTGATTTGATTTCTCGTAGAGGGGTGGGTGTGCATTCACCGAGATTCGCAAACCAGAGAGGAATGACAATTGGTGTTTTCAAATGAATTTTAACGTAACAAACGATACTACCTAATAGTTTTGCAGTAGTTCAAGATTCAGGTAGAAAATATTTTCGGTCTTGTAGTATTTGACTGGTAAAGTACTACATCTGACAGTGTCAAAGATAGATAGATAGATAGATAGATATAGAAGGCCTGTTTGTTTTATTTATGTTTTTCTGTACTCAAACAGCTGACGGTGACCATGTATACTGGCTATCAAGGAATCCTATACAGAAATCCACACATCGATAAGTGGCCGAACAATTCAGCTTTTGAAATAGGAAATCAGAGTCAATTTAAATAAACTCCTTTAAAGGTGGCTTATTAGTAAATGTTTGTACCAACTGAAAAAAATGTGATTAGTCATCATAAATTTGTGATGATAATGTCGAATTGTCACTGAAACACTGTTATGTGTATATATCTATCTGTTTATGTGTTTTGGTAAAGCACGGTAAGTGAACTGATTCGGCTCTTTGAGTTCAGTAGGACAAAGCACATAGTTGACGAGGTCGGTCCCAAACGAGTGAAACAACTGTCTGGTGTTTAGATAACCTCGATCTGGCTAGCAAGTAGTAAACACCTACTCATCTCAAACAACCAGTAGTATATATTGTCGTGTAAGTATACCTAATGTCTTGATTACCAAGCAGATCATATAATAAATGTGTAACTTGAGTAATTTAGTTTCCACAGAGAACTGTGTTGAAAGTTCACCTCCTCAAGCTGTGTAAATTTCAAATTACGAATTTGATTAATAATTGTTTAGAGGTTAAAGAATATTAACGAATAATCTTTATCTGTTTTGTCTCAATAGGGTCTGCCAGATAGGTGATATATCTACCTCTTCTCTCCTATTTATCTCACTCGGTGCCTTTAATATATTCAAGGTTTCAGGTGTCACCGTTTCTTTATGGAAATAGGAACCTTTTCCTGGTATTTTAACTTCGTCGATATGAATTTCACCCGCCTACTGCTTTTTGCTAAAAGCAAGAGACGCATTTCAGACATTTCACTCACTTTGGGAAATGTATCCTTTACTTAAACTAGGGCTTTCTGCAAGGAATTCGACGACTTGTAATAAACTTTAATACCGTATGAGGCCAATTATCTTTGAGAATGGCAGTTCCGTAAAAAGTAACTCTTCTCTAATCTCCTCTTTTATTTGCAAATTGAACATAGTTCATCCTTCTCAAGCCAAAAATATTCAGATCACATTCAATACGGATTTCATGACACACTACCCTAGTATTATATTGTTCCTCTTACCTTCTTGATTGCCATTTACGTTGTCAAGCTGACCACATAAAATGTGATCTGAATGAGATAAAGTGAGAATAAACAATTAAGTGACAAATTTTCACAGAATTATTACTATTATTTATTACCAATTATTATTTACTATAAGGTTATCTTGTCTCTATTATTTTATTCACTTAGATCCACAGCAGAAACTTCAGCGAAGTCTTTGGATTGAAGACAGGAGTGAGACAACGCTGACTGCTGTCACTGATGACATTCCTGATTGGGGTAGTCTAGATCATGAAGCAGACCGTGGTCAGTGAGAAGACAGGAGTATATTGGGTCGACTAGAATACTCTGAGAGATCTAAACTCCGTGAACGATGTATATCTGAAGTAAAATAAACTCGAAAATTTGCAGACAAAAACCAACAAGTTGGTGGAAGAGAAAGGTAGTGAAGATAGGACTTCAAGTGAACATAGAGACAACAGAGGTGGTGAAGGTACCCATCGATAAACAACAAGCACCAATCACTATCAGTGGGAGAAATTCGGAAGACTTCATTTACCTTCACTAACGTAAACAGTATCGTGTCAACTACAGGCCTAACGGATGAGGATGTCAAAACCAGCCAGAAATGGAAAGTCAAGGCGGACATTCATCACTCTGAAATCAGTTCAGAAATCAGAACTCAGAATAAAGAACTAGATTGGGATGTTCACCATCAGTATCAAACCAGTCACTTGCTCAACATGGATCAGAAACTTGGCATGTCACGTCAAAAAATCATTTTGAATAGGCCGTAGACTTTCATCAACAGCTGTCTTCTCCGGTTGCATACTGAATATTAGATAGCCAGGTGGAAAAAATTAGCCATAAGAAAGTTTTAGAACGAACCAGCTGAGAACCCAGTGTTCAACAAGTATGCCGAAGAAATTGGAGGTGGACTGGATATACACTAAAAAGACCATTGAGTTGTATTACGTGTCACATGCCAGTGTGGTATCTGAATGAAAGGAGACATGGTGGGGGTTCGAGATTGATATGAAACAGATCATGTGGATTGGATGAAAGCTTATGGGAAGTCATGGACCCAGGTAAAGAGGATTTCAGAGAACCGGACAGAATGGAGATGTACTGCTGAAGCCTCATGTTCCACTTCGAATAATAATATTAATATTTGATTACAGCTCACTACACAACTAGTGTGATTTATCAACATCATGTTTGTTATTTGTCATCCCTTGAGCTTACACCTTTAGCGTATCACATTTATTTGTTTATATTTTTGTAGTAGCCATATTTCTTTCACATCAGTGAATATATAACTCACCATTTAAAGTATGCATTCTGTTAGTTATGAATATACTAGCATGTCGCTTAATTGTCTATGCGCATTTTATCTCATGTACTTAATGACTGTACATTTTATATGCACTGAAATGGCAATCTTAACCAACCGGCTACTATACTATCTTATATTCATACGGCGAATGTAACTCCTGACATAATTTTGGTTTGTCTTTACTGGTCATTTTTATTCTAATATTCATGGATTTATAATTGTAGAACCTGAGGAAAAAGTTTTCGAAAACTACTGTCCACTTAAATTCTTTTTATTCTTAAATTACCATGGAGATATTTAAATTAATTGAGTCCGCAGTGAGTGTCTGGAAGAAATATGAACGATGAATAAGGAAATAATATGGAATTGAAAACGACGTCTGGCATTATGCAATGAACACACCTCATTTAGAATAACATAACCTGAAAAAACAGGAATAATGAATAACACTTAAAAAAAGGATTGACAGTGTAGACTACTCCTAGTATTACGTAACACGGAATAGATTTTATATAAATCTCTTTTAACATATATATATTCATATAAAAGATTCACCGTATATTCTTACCTGATGCCTATAATTATAAAAGCCTTTTGATCCAGCCACCAAAACAGCCCATTTATGATTATCGTCAACATTTGCATCAGAGAATTCAAAATCCTCAGGTAGTCTTGACTTCACCAATAGAACTTGTAAAATGTATATAAGAAAAATGGAAAGAAACATTCTTCCAAAATATTCCACAGGTTTAACTATCCTTTAGACTTAGTAAATATATATATATATATATATTGTGAAGTGTGAATATCAGCGAACATTGTCATATTGCTGACGCATTCAATCACTTTACGAGTTATCATTATTTTCTTTTCTTTTAACTTGTCTAAAGATTAAAGGTATTCAATAGATAGGCAATATAAGATGATATCAATGAGTGTTTTGGTCAATGTACAATTGTAGCACAACCCTTATTATTATTACTTTTTAAAAACAACGCTGTTCAATCTATTTAAAATGATGTGATGAGAAGGTTGGACTTTGTTTTCGACTGATGATGATATGTGTCAGTAATTCTCAACCCTCATTGAAATTGTTTAAAGCTCATTTTCAGTTGAATGTTTAAATTTATTTATGCATAGAATTCATAGTTTTCTTGATACAGATATTTCATAGTTCATTAATTTTTTTATTTTATTTTCAAAACCAAAATGCGTGGTATATGCTAACTATACCAATCAGTAGTATATTCAAAAGAATGAATGTAGTTTTCGACTTTCAGTCTTTGGACTGTTGATGGAAGAAACAATTCACATAATATATTTTTTATTTTGTATTTATCTGGTTTAATGTGTTATTCTGTCTACAGGCTTTTATCATACCATAAGACCACGGGTGGGGCTGTCGGGGATTCTATCCACTGAAACATCGACGCTCTCAGTATGCATATTTCACATATATATAAAAGTAGTTCATCTGTAAATTATTTCATAAAACTTTATTTAAAATTAGGTAGAATTAGTACCTATTTCATCTCCTTCTCAACTGATAAAAGTATCAATAATCCTGAATTCGTCAAAGTGATATTATAATAATGCGCTAATGATTAAAGATAAAATCGTAAAACTCATTACAACGAACTTCAAGCCAGTTACACCTCTATGAAACAACTAGATTGATTTTAGCCAAAACAGTCACGTTTTGAACTCTACTGTCACTCTAGTTCTCTTTTTGGCGATTCAATCATAGCGTAATTAACAAAAATGCTTTAGAGCCTAGACGATGGAAGACTCACACTCTGCGAAGCCAACTAACACACACATTGCGATACAACGAATTTCGAAAGCAGCCTTGTTCGAACATTTAAGCTTTTCATTTCATAATTCTTGAATATAAAACACTAGATAAATACTGTTTGCGTCTATATTTGATTGATGGAAGCTAGGAGGGGAATCTAGCATATGCCTTTTCATCCAGTTTAGGACTCACTAACTGGAAGTGCTTGATGCCCATTGAAAGGTGATTGTTCTCCTGCTGAGTTCCATCGTTTCAAACACCGAAGCGTTATCCACTGTTCCACTGGAGCACTGAGTGCATAGTAGGAGGTTGATATGTCGACATAGACTAATTATGTCTGTCGAATATATTGCTAGATCTTTGCAGACTGTTAGTCTTCCATCATATAGGCTCAAAAGCATTTTGTCACTTAGGCTATGGTTAAATCTCAAAAAAAAACTGCAGTGACAGTAGAGTTCAAAACGTGACTGTTCTGCTAGAATCAATCTAGTTATTTCGCCGAGGTGTAACTGGCTCGAAGTTCGTTGTAATGAGTGTCACGCTTTTATCTTCAAACATTACTGTATTTTTCTACTTTCACTTTGGCGATTTTACTTAGAACTTATCAACTGGAAGTACTTGCTACCCATTGAAAGATGATTGTGATGTCACTGAGACCCGCCACTTCAAACACTGAGGCATCATCCACTGTTTTACTGGTGTTCTGGTTACTTAATAGGAAATCGACATGTCAGCATAAACTACGCATTTCTGTCCAACATACTACTCAGTCAATAGGAAATTCAATTCTTTTTTGTTGATTCTTTTGTATTTTTTTTGTTTATAGTGGAAACAATGATGACGTTTGAATAAAGAAATAATGAACAGATTTGCAGCTCGCTTTATTTTGTAGCTTCTCTTCAACTGTATACATACAAAACAAAATCTGATATAAGTTACAAAGTTTTTGAACTTCCTTTTTGCAATGACTTCAAGTTATACATAGAAAGTCTAGGCAACATCATTCTACAGATAATATGAGCAGATTAATTATATGGTGTTAAAAGAGTTACTTTGTGTATAATAGTTGGACAATTAGAGGGCAGATTTCAGATTTTGCTTGGAAACAATGATAGAAAAGAGTCAAAATGCAAGATAGAACGACTGAGTAAATTTACACATATTATGATGGAGATTTCAGGCGCATGGGGGTGAATAGTGAAGTAAAATTATAAAATAGATAAAATAATTTAATTTAGTAGATTTGGGACCTTAATAGTGAGTTGAACTTAGTGAGTGAAAATCAAAATCGAGATTGAGTGGAATGTTGTGCAACATAACAAAACACAAAAGCACACGAACAAAACAATTATGGTTACCAGGGCAGTGAGAGATTAGTCACACTATCTTTCTGTATACATAAGTTGGGCCGAAATCTTTTGATGGTAATAACTTCTGAAAACCGAAGTAACTAACCATGGTTTTCTTTGTATATTGATTGTTTGAAAGCCGGACTAATTTCCACTGTGTGTCCTAAGTCAATTAGGTGCCTAACAATTGCACTTGAGAATACTTTGCTGCATTTCAAACGGAGACTTATAGATATATGCTCAGAAAATCTAGCAGAAGCTTTCCTCTCGATCTTGCTACCCCAAGTGCAGGTGGACTTGATATCAGCAGGATACTTACCTACTTTTGATTGCGTTGACAAGCACACCATTTTTTAAGTGCGAATGAGTCTGGCAGCAGGAAATTTTTTTCAATGTTCCTTATTTCTTTTTTTTGTTCTTGTGGACACTTCTTCCCCTCTATATGCTAGACGGGAAAAAACTAGTTTTTTTCCAACCATTTTGGATTTCCGTCTAGGTGCTTTACCTTCCCATATTTTGATATGAACTTCCGAGAATATCCAGTTCCTCTAAAGTTGTTTTCGATAACTGCGAGTTCCTCTTCGATCTTATCTTCTGAACATAACACCCTAGCTTTGCTGAAGAGCATTTTTACCAGACTCCGTTTGTACGCAGTTGAAGAGAATCCATGAAATAAGACGAGCTCCTATCACCCTGCAAATACGTTCGTTCTTTCTTTATTCAAATTAATAAAGGGAACCGGTTGTATAGGGAGTGGTGAGGTGTTTATCTATTTTACTGACCACAGGTCTTCTGAAAGCGTCACTTTCCCTGGTGATGGTGTAAGAAATAGCACAAAAATTACATAAATGAATGCTTGAATTCACTGAAATCGCCTACCTAGGTGGAGTTTTATCTAATAGAGTACTACAGACGCATTTATGTTAAACATATTGGAATGTTTTAGGATGAACAAACTTTTTTGTTAGCTGTAAAGTTATGATTTATGCATGTACTGACATGATAATTTTATTGGATAGCTGATTTGTCTATTTATGGCTTAAACTTCTGAGGGTTTTGTAAATACAATATACTATGTATTTTGTCCCATAAACGTTATTGTTTTCTTCGTCTCAGTCCATCGTTTTTCCCAGTCTGTCTCATTATGAATGTTCAAATATACAAAGTATTCTCTTGAAAACGCGGTAATGAACTGTGGATATATGTGTGAATAATATTTCGTTGGAACACATTTTCTGTATCACACCACCACAGCATTACTTTACAAACATTAATATCTAATACACCTGTGTTATAATCAGATGATTTGTATTATATGTCCAAGAAGATTATTTCTTTTATCACTGCAATGTTCAATGTCGTAAGAATTAAATCACAGCCTGAATTCCAATGATACAACTACTTATGTGCATGAAGTGACAACAAAAACATCAACTGCTAATTACACATTGGGTATTTTATTTATTGGAAGTATCTTTAAAGCTGTTGAACACTGAACTTTTTGGCTTATGCTAATTTGTAAAGAAACAGACTATTTTGGTGAGAGAAAAAAGTTATTTAAAAAGTAATAAGCAGTGAACTTTGAGCAGCAATGGTTGTTTTTTATTCATCAATACATTTATAATAAACAGATAGCTAAAACTATATTTTTTCAATGATATTCTCCCTCTTCATTAACCATATAAATTCTGAGTGGAACATGGGGCCTCAGTAGAACGTCTTAATCATTTCAGTCTGCTGTCTCTTGTCTTTTTAAGCTGCCTCGATGACAGCTCACAAGGTGTTATGTAACTCGGACAATGTGGCAAATTTAAGCTTTAAGTACCGGTAAATGCCGACAGTGTGACCACGCCAGTAACCTTGAAACTCTAGTTGCGTGCGTTATTTGACTAAACTGCCGTACACGTATATTCTAGTATTTCTTCGTTCTTATTAATGTGCGCAGACATTGTGTCTACTAGACGCCCACAACGTAAATCAAAAGGCACTTGCGAAGAGTACGATCGTGTATTGTAGCAGTAGTCAAATTTCGAAATTGTGTCAAGGTAATATTCAACAGTAAATTGACAAATGTTTGCGAAGTACATATAAAATCGGTCTGTATACACATATAATACAAGTATACAAATTAGATTAAAAAGCATGTTTACAGTTGGTATAGAGGGAATTACACTCTTAGTAGGCAAGTAAGTGGGATCAGGTAAATAATAGTGAAATAATGAACGAAATATACTCAATGAAGTGTTGTGTTATAAAGTGGGATATCTGGCAAGTTTCAGGTTAGGTTTGGGGAAGATTAAGTTGAGGGTGAGGCTAAGAACAGGTTAGGGTTAGTTTAACCTAACGAGGGCGACATTATTTGATCTTTGATTACAGCTTGATTCCACACCTTATTTTGGGTACAAGTATGGAATTTTCAGCGTGGATATCGGTAGCCCAAATTTCGCAGGCCGACCATAGATATCAGGTGGGCGCCGGTGTGGGCTCGAACTCTGGACCATGTTCATGGTCGGCAAGAATCCTAACCACTTTTAAAGGTTGACGGATATTAAAGGTTTAATTGATATCTCGTTCAACAACTTC